AATCAGCTGGTTGAATTGGCCAATGACAGCTTTAATCACTCCATGATGTTGTGCAGCCAAAATTGAGCATCATGTTATTTGGTTGCAAACACTTTTACGATATATAATAATCCTTGCATTTGATACAGCTGCTTATAGGCGTCAATGAGATATCCAATGTCGACACAAATCCATGTGTAACTTCTATTGTACACTATTAAGACTGAAATTTCAAAAATATCATATTTTAAAATAATTAGGCTTTAAAAGCCACATTTATTTACCCTTGTGAAACTCCAATCATATAGACATGCAACAAATATTACGAAGGGAGAGAGGGAGAAAAAAAGTGCCGGTAATCTCACAGCTCAAATAATCCCATTCGCTCAAATAATCGGTTCACTTCTTGCAAACCAAGCCTGAGAAAGTAGAACTCAATGGAAAGAAATGTAACAAATAACATTTAATGGAGCAACAGGTTTAAACTACGTGTTGAAACATAGATTTTCAAATCAACACACAGAGTGCAGGGGCTAAAAATAGGTGAGAATTACAAATTACTATTTGCTGGGGTGGTTGTTCAAGACAGTCTGGATTTTGTATACTTGCAGGGTGAATAACAAGGTGAATCATTTGTCCACTCACTGTTAATGCATAGTTGTCATTGTCTTTTACAAAGGAACAACGACAACAACAAATTACATTTGTAGAGCACCTTTCACATCAGGAGGAAGCCCCGAGGCACTGGGCAGTTAAGAATCCGCATCCGCGCTGGAGATTGGGATCAGGATGAGTGGAGGGCGGGGAGGGTAATGGTAGGAAGGTGACCAAAAGCATGGCCTTAAAGGAGGGTCTTGAGACGGGTCTTGAAGGAGGCAAGGGAGGGGCGAGGCGGAGGGACTGCGGATGGAGTTCCAGAGGGTGGGGGCAGAGTGGCAGAAGGCCCGCCCACTAATGGTGGGGTGGGCGAGGCAGGCGACTTGAAGCAGGCCGGAGCCCGCTGAGCGTAGGGAGCAGGCAGGATGGTACGGGGTTAGTTTAACTTAATGTTAAATTCCATCATGTTATGGTCACTCCAGAGGAGCCTTAACTTCCAGATTGCTGATTAGCCCTATTTCATTACACAAAACAACAAAAAAAAGGCAGGGCGAAACCTTGGGCAAGTTTCCTTACTCCACACGCCTAATAATAATCCCTCCAAAAACCAAAAACAATAATAAATTGGTCATTTTCAATCTACAACTGTTTGTGGGACATTGCGCAATTGGCTGCCGCGTTCGCCCACAAATATACAATCAATTCACTTTACAGTGTGTTCTGTGAAGCGCTTTGGGACGTCCTGAAAAGCGCTATATCAAATGCAAGGATTATTATTATTATTATTATTATTAAAACAAGATCTAGGATAGCCTCTCCCCTGGTTGGTTCCTCAGCATATTGTTCTACAAAACTATCTCTAATGCATTCTATAAACTCATTCTCTAATTTACTTTTGCCAATTTGGTTTTCCCAGTCTATATGAAGATTGAAATCACCCATTATTAGTGTATTACCCTGCTACATGCTCCTCTAATTTCCTGATTAATACTCTGCCCAATACTGTAACTGCTGTTAGGGGGTCTATAAACTACTCCCACTAGTGTTTTCTGCCCCTTGTTGTTTCTTACCTCCACCCATACTGACTCTACATCCTGATTTTCTGATTTAAAATCCTTCCTCTCTACTGTTTTTATGTCATCCTTTATTAGCAGGGCTAACACCCCCCCCCCCCCCCCCCCCCCCCAACTCCCCACCTCGTTTTCCACATTGCCTATCTTTCCGATAAGTCGAATACCCCAATATTTAGTTCCCACCCTTGGTCTCCCTGTAACCACATCTCAGTAATAGCCACTAGATCGTACCCATTTATGTTCTATTTGTGCACTTAATTTGTCTATCTTGTTATGAATTCTTTGTGAATTCAGATATAGGGTACTTAATTTTGACTTCTTACTATGTCCCCTACTCGTTAATGCCCTATTTCCTTTGTTGAGCTTTTTGTCCCTACTTGACACACTCTTCTTTATCTCCCAAGTCGCTACTCTCCTCTACAGCCATGACTGTTCCTTGCATCATCATCTTCTAACCAGCTCTGCTCTAATTATTATTGGAAGAGGATGCATTGCGCAAACTGTCTTCGGCTAATTGTTTCTCTGTCTAGGAAGCTCTTGATTTGACAGCACAGCTAAGAGCAGTAATTTACTGTTCTGGAATTCTGTGTTCACTCCATGATTGGCAGATCGCTTTCCAGGGGTAAAAATCCCTCCAAAAAAATAATAATTTGTTCACTCAATCCACGACTGCTTGTGGGACACTGCTGTGCACAATTGGTTGCCATGTTTCACCCACAAAATACACAGACACTACACTGTACAGTATATTCTGTGAAGCTATTTAAGATGCCTCAACGACGTGATTGGACGCCATACCAAATGCAAGTATTATTATTATGACTCATGCTTCACAGCACTGGATAGGCACTGTACTTTTAATTTTCTTCTTATTATTACACCTTTTCAAGGTACAAACTTGATCATGCAGTTCCATTTGTGCAGGGTACTCTCTGGTAGCTGACCTATTGCCCAAATGACCATTTATGATAAGTGAGCTAGGACTGACTGCCAACAGTTAGCTATGTGAACATGAGCCGTAGGCATTGCAGCAAAACCTATTCCTGATCTTTATCACCACCAAAAATTGCTGATTCTTTTCCCTCCACAGACTATGAGTTGTGAGGCCATTTGAAGTACCCGTCGAGTACTTGGCACAATAGGAGATTGAAGCTGAAGATTTCCGAAATCGTTTGTATCCCTTCAGAGAGGGGTTTTTGCCACTTCTCCCTTGGCACCTCTATTTACTATTGCAATCATTTTATGTCAATCTGAACCGGTTTTGATAATGTTTCCCTCCGACACAAAAATATTATAGTAACTGGGCCCAACTTTGTAGTTAAGTATGTTCAAACCATTAAGTAAACTAATAAATTACATCTGCAGCACACAGTGCCCTCAGTGTTTCAACTATTTTTATTCAGAAAATCATATGATCAAAATGACTCTTATTCTGCTGCTTATGAACGGAGGATCTCAACAAATTCATTGAAATGCTCTTTGCAGTTGTCAACAAAGCAGTGCTGTGAATTTATTGCTTTGAATGTAAGGTGATTGAATCTAAGTCCAAAAATAAATGTATTTCATTCATATTTAAGGATGTTTTGAGTTCCAAAATGATTCAGTTCGTCTTATTTGTCTTGCATTTATGTTTATGGGGTTGCTTTTTCCTTTGAATAAATATTATACTCAACAACTCTTAACTAGTCAGCAACAGCGCCAAAGTACATTTGTGCTGAGATTCACTTGTTTTGAAGGGAATTGACATTGCAAACTTCTGGCTTGGATATGAGAAATACCTGCACAGAAATGAAGGTGGGGTTTAAGCAGGAACAAAGAGAGATGCCATTCATAAAACTCACACTTTCAATATTTTTAAAGATCCTTTTGTTTGAAGGTGAGTGTAGTTTTATATAACACTTGTCCTTTTGTTAATGAACTGTGGTTTGTTTCCTTTGCTCATGCACCACTGATTATGGATTGCGGTTGGACCTCCACCAAGGTTTCCCGGAGAGGACCCTAATGTTAAAGCTCCCCTTCCTCACCCCCAAAAGGGGATACGGCTGAGACCAGCAAGTTATTGGGGTGATCGAAACCTACATCCCTCGGCTCTTATTAGCTTGCGATATTCTGACGGGCAATTTTGTGCAATATGGTTTCGATCCACAGCGTTCCTTTCTCCCTCACATCCACTCCCTGACCAGGACCGCTTTTTTCCATCTCTGGATCGACATCCGAGATCCTCTCGCTCGTTTTCAAATCCCTTCATGCCCTGGCACCTCCCTACATATCCGACCTGCTTAACCCCCCCCACTCACCCACCCCACCCGCTGCCTCCGCTTGACCTGCTCCGGCCTATAATAATAATCCCTCCAAAACCAAAAACAGTAATAAATTGGTAATTTTCAATCCATGACTGTTTGTGGGACATTGCTGTGCGCAATTGGCTGCCGCGTTCACCCACAAATATACAGTCAATTCACTTTACAGTGTGTTCTGTGAAGAGCTTTGGGACGTCCTCCCCACGTGAAAAGCGCTATATCAAATGCAAGGATTATTATTATTATTACTGTTTGTCCCTCGCCCCCCCCTCCCACTCCGCTACACCATCGGCGACCGTGCTTTCAGCCACTACGTCCGGAAGCTCTGGATCCGTCTCCCCGAGTCATGACTATGTGTCAGCCACAACAACAACAACTTGCATTTATATAGCAACAAAGCAAACTTAGGAATTCAACTCATAAAATCTCCTTTCTCCCTCTCTCTCTCTCCCTCACTCTCCCCAATTCAATAAAAGCTCTCCTATGGTTGACAGAGCCTCGATAATAACGTGTAGAAGGGGGGAAAGCGCTTCACGGATGATAGTCAGTCAGAGTGATGAGCAGATTCGCTTTGTTTTAGAAAAAGAGGCGAGCGAGCCAGACCCGCCCCCAGGGGAGCCCGGGCCCCAGGGGAGCCCGACCCCAGGGGAGCCGGACCCGGCCCCCAGGGGAGCCCGACCCGGCCCCAGGGGAGCCGGACCCGGCCCCCAGGGGAGCCGGACCCGCCCCCAGGGGAGCCCGACCCACCACCCGCCCCCAGGGGAGCCGGACCCGCCCCCAGGGGAGCCGGAAACTAAATACATTTGTAGCCCAAAGTCCAAAAACACTAGTCCAAAAAGTAGCCCAATATCATACGTTGACCGATTTAGGTTGGTGCTTTCGAAACTGCGTAAGAAAAGGTCTTCAAAGGGAGAGAGAGGAATAAAAAAAATACGGCTGGCAGGTTTAAATTAAAAATTATTTGAAAATTAGGCACCCGCCCAAAAGCCGTTTGTTTTTCACGCACAAAAACGCCCAAATGGGCGTGAATCCCGCCTGACGTGGCCACATTGGAGGGCAGAGGAGGAACAACAGCAACGACATAACCATGGCAACCGCCCTCTCCCTGCGTGAAGCTTCATGCCAGGCTTTTGGGGCCGAGTCGGAACTTTTGTGCGGGGAAGAGACCGCGGACGGCTTTATGGTGAGCGCTGTGTGTCTATGTGTGTGTGTGTGTGTGAGTGAGAGAGAGAGATAGAAAACGCGGGAGCGGCGGTTGAGCGACTGGCGGTTGGAGTGGAGTTTTCAGGGTTTTAAACGGATTCGTACCCGGTTCGGCTCCGCGCGACATCTCGACAACGACAGCAATATCCTCCGCCATCCTCCTCCTCCTCCCTCCCTCCCTCTCTCCACCACCACCACCACCACCGGCCACTCCTCACCCCCATTCACCGCGCTGCCAGGCTCGAGAGCCCAAGGCGAAGAGGAGAGGAGAGGAGGGCGGCAGCGCAGCCCCGGCCCGGCCCGCGGGGCCCGGCAGCGCCGTCAACACGCCCGACAAAATTTACCCGTCTCGGGTCACCTCGTCAGTACCTTATATCGCCGTAAACCATTGAGGCTTTTGTGTGAAATAATATATATATATATATATATATATATATTGAAGTTGTGGCATTTTTGCTGTTTTATTGTTCTATCATTGGGTAAAGTCGAGGGAGAGAGAGAGAGAGAAAAAAAGGTAATTTCCAGTTGTTTTCTCTCAGCAAATCCCCGGTTTATGCAAATACATCGTCAAAGGGGAAGAAGAGAGACCCCCCCAAAAAAAAACATTACATGGTAAGGTTTATTTTCCATTGTAAAAGTGGGCTCCCTTGGGATGTAGTGTAATTTGCTGGTTTAGAGGGTTATTTTGGTAATCTGTACATCGGCCAATACATTCTGTCCTATTAATATCCTCCAATACATTTTAAACTTTCTAAATATAAGTAATTTACATGCATTAATTGCAGGGGTTTTTTTTTTGCAAGAAGACGTCTTATTAGGATATTGTGCAGGACTTTCACATCCATTCCTTTGCATGTTTTACTGTCAAACAAAAAGATGATTGCTTCTTGCAAAGATCTGTGTGACTCATCTTAAATTAGCGAAACAAGACGTAACATTTGTGCGCCCATCCTGTTGTACTTGCTGTTGCATGCTGTTGGTGTTGGGAAATGCACAAGATAATTTCATGTTATGTTGATCTTTGTATTTCACATTGGGCTTTATCATGTCAAGATGTTTCAAAGTGCTTCACAGCATTTTTCGGTAATGTGTTGTGGCTGTTTGCATGCCACACTGTCCCACAAATATTAAAATTCAAGAATGTTGGCACGTGTAGCTGAAGTGATGACGCATAACTCCTTGAATCCTATAAAACTCAAACTAGTGCGTGTGTATGTGTACAGACATGCAGGGAGGGTTTGCCTTTCGTTGTGTCCTCCCGACGTGAAAGGCGCTCTATAACTTGAGTTCAATTCCAGGCAGGGCGAAACCTTGGGTAAATTTCCTTACTCCACACGCCTAATAATAATCCCTCCAAAACAAAACAATAATAAATTAGTCATTTTCATTCCACGACTGTTTGTGGGACATTGCTGTGCGCAATTGGCTGCCGCGTTCGCCCACAAATGTACAGTCAATTCACTTTACAGTATATTCTGTGAAGCACTTTGGGACGTCTAGAAGACGTGAAAAGCGCTATATCAAATGCAAGGATTATCATTATAAATGTAATTTTGTTGTTGTTGTAGTAGCCACTTCATTTAACATTCACTGTGGTTTTCAGTTTTGATTGGATTGAGAAAATGTGACTGATGTCTCATTTGACACTTGCTGGCAAAATGTTTCTTAACTCAGGAAGCACATCCTTAAACGTGAAAGTGTGCTTGTGTGAAGTTTTGCAATGTACAGTAGACAAATTGGGGTGTGTTTCAGGGCAGTTATCTTTCACAGGATTAATGTAATAAATTGCTATCATTCTTTTAAGACATCGGAAACTTACTGTGTAACTGCTTTGGAACAAACTCTGGTTCACATACCATACTCACATGCTGTCCTGTGCATATTGAATTTCAGTTTGTGCACTGGGTTGCAACTGGGGTGTAATATCAGAGTTAGACACAAGTTTTATTTTTCCTTGGCTCAGTTCTTGAGTTCTCATCTGCGTCATCTAAAATATGTGTTTCTTTAAAGTACTAGAGATCTAAATATGTTTCCCAAACATGAAGGTGAGTCTGTGAAACTAATAAATACGCAAAGATATAAACACCCAGGATGTTTAACAAATATTTTTACATTCAGTATTTAGGAACTTCCCAAAGTGAAATTGACCAGCTTCCAAATATAGGTGGATGTTGTTTTTTAAATATGATTATAACATACTTAAATTCATAAGTTCTCAAATATTGATGTGATTGTATGAAATTGATATGGGGAGGGAAAATTCCCATCATTCAGAAAGTATTCAGGATAAATACATGGAGAAGGGAAGAGCGCATTCCAGGAATTAGGTGAGGTTTGAGGCACGTGTGAAGTATAAACACTGGAATGGATGAGTTAGACTTATTTTGTACTCTCATTTCTAATTTAATTCTATGGTAAATCAGTCTCTAGCGGTTCTGACTGTGAACTCATGCAGTGACATGTGAGGTTCAAGTCTAATAATTCAGTCAGTGGGGTGCAATGATTCTTCTGTCACTGCTGGGGCAGTGATATTAATTTTGTTCAATCCGGGGTGAAGAAGAGAACAAAGGGTTCATGCAGATCTGAAAGATTGGGAAGTGGATGTCCTTTGGACAATGTAAAAGTTCACCTATTTGGCTCATGCTTGGAAGAATTTTCAAATTGCAGATGCCATTCATAGAATTATACCCCAATGAGAGCTTCCAGGAGAGAAGCAGTGAAAGTTGGAAAGGTAATCAAAAATAGGTCTTTTCCTGTCCATTCGTGAAAGTAGAATTGAGGAAACATTAAGAGAAATAACATGTTGTGCTCTTGAGGTTGGCAGAAGAGTTGGGCTTAAACTTAGACAAGTTTCCTTACTCCACACACCTCTGTTTACCTAGCAGTAAGTAGGTAGGAACCCGGGTGTTAGTCGATTGGGAGATCGCTTTCCGAGGGTAATAATCCCTTCCAAAAAATATATATAAATTGGTCACTTAATCTACAATCCAATGAAACCAAGGTTTAAGAGAAATGTTATCAGAGTGATATAGAGTAGAAGAAAGATTTTTTTAACAAAGAGACCAGGACAATTTACTGAATTGCTTGGCTATAAAATTTGTTTCAGGTGCTTGACTTGTACCAGTGGTATTTTACTGAACGATTTTACCAAAATTGTGCAAATGAGTTTAAAGATCAGAGCTAAAACCATTTATTTTAAAATTAATACTTCCTGAAGCTTTTCTATCTATGCGTGCAAATTTGGAAATCATTCTAGCAAATAATATTTAACAGATGCCCATTCCTGCATAATATTAAAAAAAACTTAATTGCATAATATTCTGTGATTAACAGCAGTTGGAATTGAGAACATTTGTTTCGACCATTGTAATCATTGCAGTAGAAAACCGTCAGCAACAAGAATAGAGTTGCCCGTTGGTTTCACGGATCAGGTATTCTGTGGTTTTAGTAGACGTCTCCAACTGTGAAGTAAAACAATAGTGAGGAGTTCTGTGCATACTGTGCCTATTTTGAGGTTACGTCTTAAGTTTTCTTCTATCGTTGCACCAATGTCTCTTGGGTAGAGGTGCACGAGGGAGACTTCTGAGTGTTGAGCCATTGGACAGCAGTAGGAGTCTGACTCTATGGGAAGCCTAATGGGACCAGCGAGGCTGTTTGAAAGTCCTTTCAGATTTATTTACTTCATCTTATTTTTGCTAAATTAGAAAGATTGCTGTTAGACAAACTAATGAGACGTGTCAACAGTGTGATAAGGCACTATATCAAGTGCAAGGATTATTATTATTTAATATTATCCTACACAAACAAAAATGCTTTGCCAAAGAAAATATTGAAGCGTAAAGATGGTTGCCTTGGGAAAGCTGCAGCTACTTGGTAATATTTTTATTGGAAGTCCTTGGTTGACTAGAAATGATTCATACCAGAATTAGGTTTCTAAGCTTGAGTGGGATTCTGTTGAAAATAGATCACCAGACTGTACAGAAATCTATATTTCTGAACCTTAAGTGGTTTCCGTGCAGTTGTATTAGAACATATTACGTTTTTTGAATATATTTTCATGCTAATTATTTTGCATTTGTATATTTCAGGCACACATGGATTCACTAACTCCTTCCTCAAGGAGTGAGCGGAAATCCAGGTAAATAACAAGACTGAAAGTGAACTTAACAAAAGTACATGAATGACTATCCACAGGAAGGACATTTATTTGATCTTGGGAGTATGAAAAAATTGGGTTTTTACTATAAATTATTTGAAAAAAAAATCAGGGTAAAAATTACAGGAACTGGAAGGAGGAAATATAGCCCGTGAAGTTCATGTTTTATTATATGGAACATGTGCGTGTTGAATCCTGATGTCAGTTTTTTTAAATAAAAGACATAATTTGCAGTTGTGGAGTTCCATTTTTCAATTACGTTAATTAGCACAGTTTGTGAAACTGTTCAATGGCTTAGTTGCAAAGAGTCTGTCTGTTTCAGGTGTGACTAACACTAAAGGTAGTCCAAAACGCAAAATACTGCAGATGCTGGGAATCTGAAACAAAAACAGAAGTCACTGGGAACACTCAGCAGGTCAGGCAGCATCTACGGAGAAAGGAAAGTGAGTCAAGGTTTCGGGTCCACGACCCTTCGTCAGAACTGGTGCACGTTGAGAGGGAGAGGCGTTTAAGGGCTAACAGAAAGGAGAGACAGGGCAAGGAAGATAAAGGAGAAAATGGGGTAGAGGACAGGGGATGATGAGTTAAAGAGGTGGGTAAAGACTACTAAAAGTAGTCCCATTGTTTTCTGCACTGGAGTACCTGTTTTGAATACCTGGAATAATTGGATTCAAGTAATATTCAGGAACTTGAATAGATTTTGTATTACACCCACTTAAGCCCTTTTTGAAGTGCTTTGAGATACCTTGAAGACGGATGTGATAAGTCACTATATCAGATGCCAGGATTATTGCTAATTCACATTTTCAGAAAAATTGACGTATACTGATTTACCATTATCAATTTCCTATCAGAATTTGTGCCATTATGCTGCTCAATGTCATGCAATGAAGGAGTTGAACACATCTAACCTATTTTGAAATGCAGAATGCTCAATCTACCCTATGCTTGGAAAGTTTAAAGAATTTCAAGATTCTGTTGAAATGCTGCAAATTAATGGAGGCTTGAAGCAATTCAGTTTTGTAAAAGACAACAGATGGGTTTCTTTACGTTTTTGATTCATGTGCAGTGCAATTTAGTAAGATCAGCACTTGCAAGCAAAATGTTTAACTGAAATTAACTTGTGCCCATTTATCAAATAGTGCTGCACAATCTTTTGTCCAGTTCCTCATTCTGTCTTGCACTTATGCCAAATTGTGTGTCTCAGTAGATGATTCCCTTAATAACGGAGAAGGCAGCTAGGTAGATCCAAAGAACCTTTGTTCATCTGAAATGGCACCAGTCCCACCACAGGATTTAGGTTGTGATAGTTATCCTACGAACTTGTCTGCAGGATCAAAGACACTTTCCAAGAAGTTTTGTTTGGGATGTTTGAGATGACGGAAGATACATACTTAGGAAATAAGACTTTTAAGAGTATGGAAAAAACATGATGAAATTAAATAAAGGTTTAAATTAAGTTTTATCATGAACAAATAAATGTATAGAACAGGTTCAGCTTCCTTGTTCTATGTGTAGAGTTTAGCTTTGACAGTCAAAACACAACTTTTCGCATCTCTATTTAACAACAACAACAAAATTACATTTGTATAGCGCCTTTCACGTCGGGAGGAGCTCCCAAGGCGCTGGACAGACAGAGTTACGGACGTGAGCTGAGGGTCAGGGAGGGGGAAGGGCGGGGGCGAAGCAGGGAGATTGAAAGCACAGTCAAAGAGGAAGTTGTTGAGGTGGGTCTTGAAGGTGGCGAGGGAGGGGGCGAGATGGAGGGACTGCGAGTTGGAGTTCCAGATGGTGGGTGCATAGTGGCGGAAGGCCCGCCACCGATAATGAGACGAGCAAGGCGGGGGACGTGAAGCAGGCTGGAGCCTGCTAAACGGAGGAGCGAACAGGGTGGTAGGGGGTTAGGAGGTTGGAGAGGTAGGGGGGCGCAAGACCATGGCAGGTGAGGACCAGGATCTTGAATTGCATCCTCTGTGTGATGGGAAGCCAGTGGAATCAGGAGAGGATGGGTGATAAGACCGCAGAGCCTAATGCGGGGAAGGACCCGGGCTGCAGAATTCTGGATGATCTGCAGCCTGTGGAGGGAGGAGTTTGGGAGGCCAACAAGCAGTGAGTTTGCATAGTCGAGCCTTGATGTGATGAAGGTGTGTATGAGAGTTTCGGCGGCCTGCAGTGTGAGACAGTGTCGGAGCCGGGCGACATTAATTGGTGCATATCCTTAATTTACTTTGTCTCTGTTGATTCTTCCAATAAAGAATAGAAGTATGAGTCAAAATAAGTCTCGTTTTCAGATAGGCTGGAGGTAGGGAAAGTCAATTGACCATTGTGGTTAGAAAGGTGGATTCTCACAAGAGTGTTTTCCCATGGTCATATGTGTATATTGAGTTATATTCAGAGAATGAGGACTAAAATATTCGTGTGTACGATGTAATGCCCTTTGTACTCTATGCTCCTATTTATAAAGTCTAGTGTCCCATATGCCCTTTTTACAGCTTTATCTACCTGTCCTGCCACCTTCAAGGATTCATTTACCTGCACCTCCAGGTCTCTGTTCTTTTACCCCCCTTAAGATTGCATGTGTACCTTCAGCTCCCCTCTCGACCCTCTACCCCCTCCTCGCTTCCTCCCTTCCCTTCCCTCCCCTCACCCTGACCATTTCCCCCCTGCTCGGGTCCCGACCCAACTGTCCAGGGCCTTGGGACGTCCTCCCGACGTGAAAAGCGCTCTATAAATGCAATCTTGTTGTTGTTGTTGTAACCTTTTTATTTGCTTTCACAGGAAGTTTCTAAAAAGTTTAACCCGAAAAGAGCCTTTTGATTTGCTCTTGGTGATTGGAACGGGAGTGAGTGCTGCTGTTGCTCCCTATGTATCTGCTCTGCGTTCGTGGCGAAGTTGTATTGAAGCAGTCATTGAAGCAGCTGACGATCTGGAGGTGCTTCATCCATGTGATGTTGCAGAGTTCCGCAAAAAAGCAAAAGGAGACCGTGATCTTCTTGTTGTTGCACATGATCTGATAAGAAAAATGTCACCAGTGAGTGATTACAGTCAATCAATTGTGTTTATCTCAGAATATGTATACAGTTTCATTTCATTTCATTTTCTTATATATTTACTATTCTGATAGTATCTGGATAAGTATGCTAGTGAAATATAACTGCAGTTGGAAGAACATAAAATTATATGTTGATGAGTATTTTCTTCTTCCAATTTGATCAGGAAATAGGTAAAGATGCTAAAGTGTTGGTGTATAAAGAAGTTTCATTGTTTTATAGTTCCTATATCATAGAATCATACAGCACAAAAAGAGGCCATTCGGCCCATCAAGTTTGTACCGGCTCTTTGAATAGAGCAATTAATGTCAGTCCCACTCCCCAGCCCTTTCCCCAGAACCCTGCAAACCCGTCCTCCTCAAATACCTGTCCACCGCGTTTTTAAAAGTAATTATCGAATCGGCCTCCACCACCCTTTCAGCCAATGCGTTCCAGATTCAAACAACTCGCTGCGTGAAAAGATTTCCTCTCACCTCCCTTCTGCTTCTTTTAGAGACTATTTTGAATCTGTGATCTCGAGTCACCGACACACCCACCAGTGGAAACAGTTTTTCCCTTTCTAACCTATCAAATCCCCTCATGATTTTGAAGACCTCTATTAGGTCTCCTCGTAACCTTCTCTGCTCCAATGAGAATAATCCCAGCCTCTCTAGCCTTTCCTCATAATCAAGGTCCCTCATTCCTGGTACCATCCTTGTAAATCTCCTCTGCACCCTTTCCAATGCCTTAACATCCTTCCTGTAGTGTGGTACCCAGAACTGGGCGCAGTATTCTAACTGAGGCCTAACCAGTGTTTTATATAGGTTAATCATAACCTCCTGACTCTTGTACTCTATGCCCCTATTTATAAAGCCTAGTATCCCATATGCCCTTTTTACAGCTTTATCTACCTGTCCTGCCACCTTCAAGGATTCATTTACCTGCAGCCCCAGGTCTCTGTTCTTTTACCCCCCTTAAGATTGCATTATTACCTAGCCTATATTGCCTCCCCTCATTCTTTCTACCAAAATGCATTACCTCACATTTCTTACATTGAAACTCATCTGCCATGTGTCTGCCCATTTTACCATTCTGTATATGTCTTCCTGCAGTTGGCTACTATCCTTCTCACTGTTTACCACCCTACCTAACTTTGTGTCGTCCGCAAACTTGGAAGTGGTACTTGCTATACCCAAGGCTAGATCATTTATGTATATTAAGAAGAGCAGTGGTCCTAATACTGATCCCTGGGGGACGCAACTGTACACTTTCCTCCAGTCAGAAAAGCAGCCGTTCACCACAACTCTCTGCTTTCTGTCTCCCAGCCAGTTCTGGATCCATGCTGCCACTGTCCCTTTTATACCATGGGCTTCTATCTTTCTTACAAGTCTTTCATGTGGCACTTTGTCAAATGCCTTTTGAAAGTCCATATAAACTACATCAACTGCACTACCTTTATCCACCCTCTCCGTTACCTCATCGAAAAATTCTATTAGATTTGTTAGACAAGATTTGCCTTTAACAAATCCATGTTGGCTGTCCCTAATTAACCCATATTCTTCTAAGTGAAGATTTATTCTGTCCCGGATTATAGTCTCCAGGAGTTTCCCCACTACTGATGTTAGGCTGACTGGCCTGTAGTTCCCAGGTTTGTCCTTCTGTCCCTTTTTGTACAGGGGAGTCACATTGGCCACTCTCCAGCCCCCTGGCACCACTCTTGTGTCCAACGAAGATTGAAAAATTGTAGCCAAAGCCTCCGCTATTTGTACCCGTGCCTCCCATAGTAACCTTGGTTGCATCCCGTCCAGACCGGGTGACTTCTCTACCTTCAACGCAGTCAACCTTTTCAGTACTTCCTCTCTGTTTATACTTATCCTATCCATTTCCTCTACCCTCTCCTCCAATACTGTGGCATTTGGTGCATCCACTTCTTTTGTGAAGACAGATGCAAAGTAATCATTCAGCACATCAGCCATGCCTTTTGCCTCCACAATAAGATTTTCCCCTTGGTCCTTAATTGGCCCCACCCTACCTTTGACTAACCTTTTTTTCTTGATATGTTTGTAAAATATTTTAGAATTCCCTTTAATGTTACCCGCTAACCTTTTTTCGTATAATCCTTTTGCCCTTCTTATTTCGTTTTTCAAACCTCTTCTGCACTTCCTATATTGTATTTGGTTGTCTTCTGTATCTTGGGTTTGACATTTGTCATACGCCTCCTTTTTCTGCTTCATTCTAGATACAGTTACCTTCGTTATCCAGGGAGATTTGGAAGCCCTACTTTTCCCTTTTGTGGGAATGTATTTATTCTGTCCCCGAGCTATCTCATCCTTGAAGACTTCCCACTGCTCTTTAGTTGTTTTACCTGCCAATCTTGCTTTCCAGTCCACCTTGGCTAGGTCCCTTTTTAACTCACTGAAATTTGCCCGCTTCCAGTTGAATATCTTCACCTTAGATGGTTCCTTGTCTCTTTCCATATGCACTCTGAATCTAATGATGTTATGATCCCTATTGCCCAGATGCTCTCCCGCTGAAACTTGCTCCACTTGCTCTACTTCATTCCCCAGAACTAGATCTAGCACTTCCTTGTTGGGCTATAACCTTAGTCTCATTCATAATAATTATATGTATGGAGAAGGTATGATTTCTCAGGTTTATTCTGTACAAGCCTAAATAGTAGACAAATTAGCCTATTGATGTTTACTTGGGGTAAGTTTACAAATGTAACTTTGAGCTTATTGTGAGTAAATCCATTCATTTATTTATTCAAGATTTATTGTGATGCAGTGCATATTGACTCATTTTCTTATCATGTTTATGTTGTTTTGTTCACAGCGCACTGGTGATACCAAGCCCAATTTCTTCCAGGATTGCCTCATGGAAGTTTTCGAAAATCTGGATCAGCACATTCAGAACCCAATGCTCTTAGATGCGATTCTCCAACTAATGGAGGGCGGAACAATGGTCCTCACCACCAACTATGACAACCTGCTTGAGATCTTTGGTCTTCAGCGAGGCAAACCTATGGAATCTGTAGATCTGAAGGAGAAAGAAAAGGTTTGTAAAACGAAAGCAGATGTGACATGTCTTGCAGGACATCAAACCATCTTTTAAGAATCTGTTTACAGTTGGAATTCTAAACTTGTGCAAAATTATTTCTCCTCACAAGTATGTGGAATCACTAATTCAATCAATTAATCTGTCATATTTCTGTCCTGTCCTGCTGCTTATTCACACCCCATTGTTTTCCCCTCCTCAATAAATTGCTTCCTGGGAGAGTCAAGCCTATTCTATTAACTATTTGGTATTTAGCTCCAAAGCCTTTTCTGTAATAAATATTTTCTCAGTTTTATTTTATCAATAATTTTCTACACTTTAGAACAGGACAAGTGCATCTGTCCTAAAGTGTAGAAAATTTCTGTGAATTATGATTTGTAGTTTTATATAACAAGAACTTGCACTTATATAGCATGTATAGTAGGAACAGAAAAAGGATTGCTGGAGCATCAACACTCAGTGCTGGGGGATAAAGGAAAGCAGTTTCAGGAACATGCTGCCCTGGGGGTCCTTCTTTCAGATGCTCTGAATGGAAGTGAGGCATCCCCCTTTTAAAAGGAAAACGTTTTGGTATACTTTCCAATGTGTGCTGTTTCACAAAATAGATGTTCAGCCAAATACAATTTTGTCCCATCAGCTCTGAATCCATAGTGGTTCCAATGTTAAAATTCATCTTTGGAATTTGCTTTCTGTTCATTATAGCTGCAGAGTAATAATATATTTTTTTGATGGTACCAAATGATATCAGTGAGTCTGTATACAAAATTACAACATATTTTCCAACATAATATTTCTGGCACAGAAGAATAATCTCGATAGTCTCGAATAGACATAATATAATGTACAAATAGTTTTTTTTTTCTCAATTTGATTGTTTTGTTGCTCCCAAAACATCAAGAGGAAATGACTTGCAAGCAACAAATGTTAGGAGAAGCTGTCTTAATTTCATTGAACAATTTTTTTCCTTTCAACTCCAAATAAATCCATTAGATCTTTTTCTGTTTCATCTTAATCCATAATTCATCCACATTTTAATATTACGTTTGTTCATTTGAAGGTGGTTCAGTGGGCGAGAGGTCTCCAGAAATACAGTGTACTTCACATACACGGACTGTACACTGATCCCTGTGGACTGGTCTTGGATCCATCAGGATACAAAGATGTAATGCAGGATCAAGATCTGATGGTAAGTGCAGATTTTACATGTTTAAAAGAACCGTTTTAGAATAATTTCTTCAGGCATGTTATGTGGGTAGCAAACAAGTTAGCAGACATCACTGCATCAATCATGAAAGCAGCAAGCTTTGGCAATCTCACAGGATGTTTTATCAAATTTTGCTTGATGTCTTAAAAGTGTATGTTTTTGAAAAACCTTTCCTCAAGTATAAATATTCGGTTAATTTCCACCTAAATTGATATGCTTTAGATGTTATTTTGTATTTGTTCCTCTGATAGGATGAATTTCAGAACCTGTACCGCACCAAATCCTTTGTGTTTCTGGGTTGTGGGGAAACTCTACGTGATCAGATCTTCCAGGCACTTTTTCTATATACTGTTCCAAATAAGATGGATCTGGAACACTACATGCTGGTGCGAAAGGATAGTGAGGACTATTTCTTCAAACTGCAAGCAGAGATGCTACTGCATGGGATAAAGGTAGTGTCTTACGGAGACCAGTTTCATCACATGCCTGAATATTTTCGGGATTTGGTGGCACTGATTTGTAAGCAGCGAATTCCAGGTGAGTCTTTCACAGTCAGTTAACTTGAATGTATTGATTATTTCTTTTCAATAGTCATTTTTGCATTGAAATGTCTAGCATCTTTGGGACTGAGGACAAGGCGTTGGATTTTTTTTTAATTTGAAAGCATTATTATTTTCTGGTGCTTTTTAAAAGGTAAGCAAAAATCTCCCTCAAGATGAGAACGTCAGTCAGAGACAAAATGGTACCAATAAGGGTTGTTTGATGAATCTTCTACATTAGGGATGGCCAACTTGTGGTCCGAATTACACAAGCGTAGAATAGTCACGCATCTTTCTCACATAGTTTTTGTGAACATTCCTTTATCTTAATTTCCCTACACCTCAACTTCTTCATGCACAATGCATATAATTGTACAAGTATAACTTTCTCTTATAACATAACATGTAGGAGCAGTAGGCCATTCGGCCCTTCGAGCTTGCCCCGCCATTCAATCATGGCTGATCTTTTAATTAACACCAGCTAATAACATAACCCTGCCTTATCCCCATATCCCTTAATCCCTTTTTCTATATACTGTTCCAAATAATATTGCCCCCAAAATCTACTGTTTTTACATTATTTTATTTCTTTAATACATGCATTCTATGCCAGTTGTGCCATAACTATGACCCCATCTTATGTTATGTGTACAAAAAGATTTTTTAAAAAACAAACAAATTAGAAGACAAAATTATTTATAGTATATAGTGTGTCCTGCTTATTTATTGTACCATAGCATGTTCTTGCATGTTTGACTTTTGGGCAATATGTAATTGAATTGGGACGGTGGGAAATGTGACTGTAAAGATAATCCATTATAAAAAGCTGCAGTCAGTAATTCCTTTAAGATAGCTGTGGGATTTTAAAGAGCATATTTTCAGCACATTTGGGATTCTGTTGAAATTAATTGATAGGAAGCATAAGCAAACATAAATAATAATAATAATAATCCTTGCATTTGATATAGCGCTTTTCACGTCGGGAGGACGTCCCAAAGCGCTTCACAGAGTACACTGTAAAGTGAATTGACTGTATATTTGTGGGCAAACGCGGCAGCCAATTGCGCACAGCAATGTCCCACAAACAGTCGTAGATTGAAAATGACCAATTTATTATTGTTTTGGGTTTTGGAGGGATTAAATGTACTGTGCAGCAAAAATGTTTGTTCATCAGTGGGATCCACATATAGTGAGGAATCCAGAGCTATGCAGAATGTGTTCTACTTTCTGATCCAAACTGGGATTATTATAATAAGATTCCTATTTGGAAGTTGGTTCCAAATTATACCATTAGTACCAATTATTTAATGATAAAGCCCTTTGGTTATCAATTTGAAGTATGTGTAAAAAAAATTTTAGAAGAGCAACATTTGAGAGGGAATTTACTATTTAAATCTTAAGTGTCAGTGTGACTTTATATGTGGTATTCTAGACTCTGAGCAAAACGATTTGAGATACACACTCCAGTATTGTTCTCCACTCCCTGAGATCCCATATGCCTGTTCATCAAGTGGATATTGAGAGTCTTCAAAATGTTTCTCATGAGATCAAAGTCCTCGAAAAGCCTTGTGAGGTTTTTGAGACATTTTTTGTGGTGATCATTTACTGAAAAAATGCTGATAGCAACTGGTATCCATATTTCTTATTGTTGGAGTCTAAAACATGGGGTACTTTGAACTGTGATTGATTCCCCAGCCTTAATGAATTGCTCATTAAGATACAAAATATCAAAGAATTGCATTCAGGAACTGCATGACATCAGAAGGAAAGGTCACACTTTATAGAGAATTTATAAATCAAAAACATAGCCAACTGAGGTATTAATTCAGTGCACTGAGGAATATAATAAAATATTAAGTTAAATATTGGTTTGTGTCTCAGATGTAGGTTGAACAGTAACCCCAGATCTGATGTAGATAACAAATCATTATGGTGAAATCCTCACCCTTGTATTTAAGTCCCTGCACTCCTGCACCTCCCTACCTCTCTGACCTCCTCCCTCCTCAAAACACAACCCGTTGCCTTTGTTCCTCCGGGTCTGGCCTCCTCCTCATTCCCCGAGTCCTCCGCTCCACCCTCGGTGGCCGTGCCTTCAGCCACGATACCCCGAGGCTCTGGAACTGCCTTCCTCACTCCCTTCGTCTCGCTCCCTCCCTTCCCATTTTCAGGTCTCTGCTGAAGACCTTTTCGACCGCGCCTTTGTTGTTGTTGAAATTTCCATGCAGTAAGAACTTGCAGTACATACAAATATAGATTGGTTTCTTCTCTTAAGTGAGATTCATGTGCAAGGGCTGTCATTCAGTATGGACAAAATAAAAAATGTTGTTTCCAAAAACAACAACAACTTGGATTTATATAGCGCCCTCCACGCCGGACGGCGTCTCAGAGCGCTTCACAGTAACGGATCCCGGGACCGAGCCAGGGGGAGGGGGAGGAAGGTGACCAAAGGCGCGGTCGAAAAGAAAGCCCTGAAAATAGGAAGGGAGGGAGCGAGGCGAAGGGAGTGAGGAAGGAAGTTCCAGAGCCTCGGAGCATAATGGCTGAAGGCACGGCCATCGAAGGTGGAGTGGAGGACTCGGGACAAGGAGGAGGCCAGACCCGGAGGAACAAAGGCAGTGGGTACTGTTTTGAGGAGAGAGGAGGTCAGAGAGGTAGGGAGGTGCCGAGGAGTGCAGGGACTTGAATGCAAGGGTGAGGATCTTGAAATCGATCCTCTCTGGGATAGGGAGCCAGTGCAGTCTGGCAAGGACTGGGGCAATCGGGGAGTGGAGATGCGGGCGGCAGAGTTTTGAATGATCTGGTTTTATGGATGGGAGACCGGCGAGGAGGGCGTTAAGAGTAGTCCAGCCGAGAGATGACAAAGGCATGGACCAGGATTTCAGCGGCTTTTGGGGAGAGGTATTGGCGGGACAGGCGATGCGTCGGAGGTGGAAGAAAGCGGTGCTGGTGAGTGACTGGATGTGGGGGAGGAAGAATAATTGGGGGTCGAACCTGACGCTTAGGTTGCGTACGGGTTCGGAGAGTTTTAGGGGGAGGTCGGATAGGTGGAGGAGGTGAGAATCGTGAGGTTTTAAACGTTGACGGGAGCCAAAGAGTATGGATTCCGTCTTGTCAACGTTCAGCTGAAGGACATTTGCGCTCATCCAACCCATGAGATCTGACAGGCAGGCTGACAGAACATCAGGGGACTGGGGGTCGCAAAGAGAGGTGGAAAAATAGAGTTGGGTGTCGTCTGCACACATGTGGAAGTGTACCCCATGTCTGTGGATGACATCCCCAAGAGGGAGCATATAGATCAGAAAGAGGAGGGAGCCAAGGATGGATCCTTGGGGTACCCCGCAGGTAACCGGGTGAGAGTGGGAGGAGAAGCCATTTGTGCAGATGTACTGCTGGTGGTTTGTGAGGTAGGACCCGAACCAGGTGAGTGCTGTCCCACTGAGTTGGATGACGGAGGAAAGGCGATGGAGGAGGATGGCATGATCGACTGTGTCGAACGCGGCGGAGAGGTCCAGGAGGACAAGGAGGCAGAGGGAGCCCTGGTCACAGATAGAGAGGATGTCGTTTGTGTCTTTCACAAGTGTAGTCTCTGTACTGTGAGCAGGGCGGAAACCGAACTGGAGGGGTTCGAAGAGGGAGTGGGAGGAGAGGTGTGCGCGAAGTTGGTAGGCAACAACGTGTTCTAGAACTTTTGAGAGGAAGGCCAGATTAGAAATAGGACGGTAGTGGCTGGGGTTTGAGGGATCTAAGGAGGGTTTTTTCAGGAGGGGGGTGATGACAGCAGTTTTGAGGGAGACAGGGACTGATCCAGAGGAGAGGGACTCAGAAGGCTGGAAAAGAAATGTTTTTTCTTTTCTGACCAAATGCTGGAGTCTAAATGAATAGGTATTTGGAAAGAAGTATTCACTGAGGAGAGAAATTATTTCTAGTTTAAATATATGTTCAGTACAATAGAGAGCCGATTATCCATGTAGATTGGAACTGGCCTGTTGCAATCGAGCAAAACTCATGAATCATCAATTTTGTTCTTTACTGGTTTTATTCCTGCACATCCAAACGTTTCTGAACGAGTGAAACAAAAATAATGCGTCTTTAAGATGCCTTGTCGCATAATAAGGACTAAGAGATGATATACTTATGACAGCAAGAATTATGCTAATTGGTGCTCATTCAGCATTGGAATAATTTTCTTATGCTGAAAGTCACCCACCCACCCATTGAATATTTTCTGCACAAATTACATGGAATATCAACATCAAACTCAATGACTTGATGCACTGGTTCTACAGTAAAATGATGCACTAGTGTTTCTTCTATTCCTGCACATAGTCATTTAAATATTGTATAGTCTACAAAAAATAAACTTCCATTCATATGTATCTCAATAAATGGAATCTTGTTGTTGTTGTATCTTATTGTTATTAACAATTTTTTTTATTATTTAGATGGTATCTCAGTGGACAGCACAAACTTTCTATTAGGTAAGATAATTTGCACTAAATATGCATAGATCATATGAACTTGGAAGAAACTTATCGTACTTTAGAGTACGATAAGTACCCATAAACTTCAATTGTTGTTTTAGGTTATTTGATTTGGTGTAGTCGTAAATATCTGTGAAAATAAAAGTAAAGTGTGTTCTTGAAAGAAAACGAATGCCCAGTTGTAATCTGTCTCAGTGCATAGGCACCATTATTCCATATATTGAATAAGGAAATGTCTCGTTCAAATAATTTGAAAACTAGGTATTCTCTTTTTATAGGTTTAAAAAAGGATTTTTATCAAACTGCTTTGCACAAAATACTGACTTTCATAGAAAGGGCTTTGATAATACAAATCATTCAATGAAGACTACTGAATACTCCTATGCTTATTTCAATCAGCTTTGGCTGCAAAAAATAATTGAGGGTAGAACTCATGAAAACATTACTGGAACCTGCCTACCCGCCACATTGTTAGCTGTGCTTATTCCCCTTAACAGCAAACACATCTACGTGTTTTATTTGTTTCACTCGTTTATCACTGAAGATCCCATTTGGTGTCATTGTTCCTGCTGCAGATCGTGGCCCGGGGAAGACTCCAACTGGTGTCATTACTGCAGCTCTGCAAAGTGGAGGTGGGCTGCGGTAAGTGACATCATAAAAGCTGTTTGTAGTGAATGAAGATTTGTAAACTTAACATTTCTAAAGTGGCATTCTATTATAAGTGGTAGAGCATTAAACTCCCAACTTAAATCTGGTTGGTATGAGTTCTGGTTCTTGCAAAAAAATGTAAAAGCTTACTTTGGTTGGGATTCCATCCATTCTCAATGAGGTTGCTACAACACTTGAAAAGTTAGGTAGTTGTTTCATTCAAAAGAACAGTTCTCTTGACTGACTTTAAGGCAGCATCGATGTTAGTTTGTGGGAAATAAAGGAAATATTCTATTTCTCCAAAGGTTACAAAAGAAAATCCAGAATAATTTCTCCTTCTGCACATTCCCCTCCTCTTCATGCTTTCTGGCCAACAGTACAGAACTAATCTTGACTGTACCATCTGTTAATTTCATACCTGATACCATAGTCTTCAATAGTTTAAAACAGTTATTTAATTCCTTTTTGAAGGAGTTGTTTAGCACATCAAAAATGGTGTCAGGATTCTTTATTATTATTCTGTGTGTGTTTGTGTGTGTGGAGGGGGGGAGAGGTGGATGAAAGAGAGACGTTTAATGTCTCGCCTCCCCTGAGTGCATAAATTGGGCTCCAGTGTTTCTATGAAGATGGAGAGGACATGAAGAGAACACCAAAGGAAGGGAGTAAAAAAAATATGTGTTTATTTAAAAAGAAGCCACTACTGGGTGTGGAACAGATGAAAAAGGTGATCAGAATTGTAAAATATACTCAAAATGTTTACTCTACTTCAAATTTATAACAGAAGGCTATGCTATTAGTTATGGGCTCAAGAAATTTTAAACCTTTGGTGGATGGATGGTATTCATCGAGACTAAACTGAATTATTGTGGGTGGAAACATGCTGGTCCTCCAATGTGATGAACAACATTTAAAATCATCAGTGCAAGTTTATTGATGAACTGTGAAACAATTATTTTTCTGTATTCATTTTTTCTTTTGTGTTTTTGCAGGAACATCCTGTTCAGACTGTGCAAAGAGAAGACAAGAAGAAAATGGATGTGCAGTTGAGAAAAAGGCCAGAAAAGCAAATGGTACATATTGCTGTGCACCTTTATTACTTTCTTCCTGATCCCTGCCCTAGGTCACCCATCAGAAGTCAACGCACCAGCGTTATGTCTATGTAAACTGTCTACCCTAAAGTTGGCAAAGGCAGGTTGCGGTTAACTTCTTTTTTTTCTCTCTGTCTTCAGTGTCTGTGTGTTTTGTGTGTAATCTTTTAATCTCATTCAAGTGAAACGATTAAATTCTGCTTTTCCAATGTTTCCTCTGTTGAGTATACATCTAGGCCTCAGAATTCTGCAAATGTGAACTTAAATGTTTCATCTTCTCTATTTTAAGATTGCAAGGGAAAAGTCATAACTGTTCATAGCCAAGAATAGATGTAATGCTATTTAGAGCAAACCTAGAGTAAGGACTTTGGTAATCAACAGGAAACATGAAGAGTATGCAGGTCAGGGACGTCCATACCAGATAAATGGAATCAGTAAATGTGTGTAGCTCCAGCAACAAATCAATAAATTAAATTTGTATAGCGCCTTACGTCAGGAGGATGTCCCAAAGCGCTGGAGAGTGAGGGATTTGGATCCGAGCTGAGGTTGGGATCAGGAGGGGTGGAGGACAGGGAGGGTAGGGGTAGGAGGGTGACTGAAGGGGCAGTCGAAGAGGAGGATCTTGAGGTGGTCCTTGAAGGAGGCAAGGGAGCAGAGTGATGGATTTATATGTGCGGCTATCTGAGTGATCTCTTGTAAAAAATAAAAAATAAATACCAGATGTTGAAGATTTTCAAAATCAGCAATGTGTGAAAATACAATGAAAATAAACTCTTTAATTACAGATGCCGAATCTGGAGCAACATAGATCATATGAATAAAGCACCTTCACCAAAGTGCCATATACCAATCCATGATGCCAGACGGACCAAAAAGTGATCTTTATTCATACCAGCACTAGTTGATTTGGTAACTTTCCTTAGAATAAGAACTTGCAAGCAATTTTTGCAGTGCTAAATGTGAATCAGTGGCTCTCCTGGCCACATGGACTTAACTGGTCATTGTGGTGCCTCAGGGAAAAGACAGGGGATGTTGGAGCAAATGGCTGTGATGTGCTCACACTTTCCAAATGGAACTGTCTGAAAAATATCCTGGTGTCGTGCAGTTTTTTTTTCATTTTCTTACATTGCTAAACATGATCATTCTCATTGTATGACTGTCAGGTGGGTTGTTTTATTTAAAATTCTCCCCTGTAATATATTAAGAAATCATTGCGGGAAACCATGTATTTCCATATTAAATATTTTACATGGATGGAATAAAAAATTGGCAGTGGGTGAGAGAGGAAGTTGACCTTGTTTGAACTACATTTTCAACCATCCATTGAAAGAATTGTGTGTGTTGAAATCTGTTCTAGCCGGAGCAATGGGAGATAGACTGTATAATGTGTGAACATATTGGGAAATATCAGATCACAATTTGACATGGTCTTGTTTTGTCTTTCAATGTTGTTCACTTTTCGAGCAGAAATAAGATAATTGCTAATTTTTTGAGAGGGGAAGGAAGAATTCACAGAATGCTATTCTTCAGGTGTTTCCTGAGCTGAGTGAAAGATATTGTTCACAATTTAAATCTCGTTACTCTGACTGAAATGACAAGAGAATATGCTGATGTAAATTTAATGAAAAAGAAAAGTATCAAGGTCACAAATGCGAAGAGAGAAGGAACTTCATTTGAAAGATGAGCTACATTTGAAGCATAAGGAAGACAGTAATGCGGAGAATTAGTGTATGCTGTACCTCATTTGCTGATCTGTGCATAGCTGTAATATACTGAAGTACAAAAAAAGCATTGCTAAATAATTCTATAGAATGTAATCTTGAGACCATCATAGAGCAATGAAGCACTTAGCATTTTGGTCTATTTCAAGACAATAATGATAAAAGTATTTTGATTATTTTTTGCAGTTGCATGGAATTCAGGATCAAGCGCTCCTTTGCACACTGTTCCATGAGATGCTTAGAATAGGCAGAATTAATTTTTACTTTCCTGGGTGTTTTAAGCCATCTGAAGTGACATGAATTCTTTGACTCATTTTATAAGTTCATAGTGCATGAAAGCCACAGTTTGTTTTAAAAATGAAAGATTGCCTAAACTGGTGAATATTGGATACTTCTTTTTGGGCAAAAAGCCAACATATTTTCCACCAGGAGATTATGTGATGACAGGTGGAAAATGGGCATTATAATTTTAACTCCATCTTTAAGAAACATATGGAAGGACCGCTTATGAAGATCATTCTCAGTTCAAGGCATCAGTGGCAACTTTTTGATATTCACCGAGTTTATTGTGTTCTTTCTGACAATGGGATCTCTGATGAAAGTGAATAATTATCTCTCAATGAGCCCCTTGCAGAGCTGAATGTGTTGTGCAAAATTAGTTTATTGATGCAGCTAATGGCATATAGTTGCAAGAAAATTAGCTCTAATTTCAAATTTTTCCAACCGCTGTATGCCCTATGACATTGCTTTTGGGCATCTGAATAGATTCCTTGTGTCTGACATTGTGTTTGGGCAAATTGTCCTATTGTGTGAGAACCCATTGCTCTGGTAGGGTTGGAAAGCCAGTGGATACCTCTTATGTATCCAACCTGTTTGATTTTATCTTGGCTATAGTAAGGCCAATGAATATCATTATCAAGCATCGAATTCCCAAAGCACTTACTTAGGTTATGGTAAATGATGTTTGAGATGATTTATCCTGATTCCCTGCCTCAATACCAACTGGTATAATAGGTGAACCTTAAATTTAAGTGAGAAAGTTATTGTCCTTGTTTGGAATTCTGTTTGATTACTGCGCAATTTGAAATAGAACCAAGTTGATATGAATGACTCCCATTCTAGCTTCTTTCTGACAAAGTTTTTTAGACAAGAACAGCAATAAGAAGAGCATGAAGGCATGCAATCTCAATCATATCAGAGGTTGATGCTTCAGTCATTTGAAACTATCAGCTGACATTTGTGTTCTTATATTCATCTATTGGTCTTTGGTTCCAGAATTCAAATGATACAAATGTACGACTATTCGAACTGGCACTGGAAATTTCCTCCATCAAGGTTTTCGTTGAAACTGGCACTTGAATTAAGTACAACTTTTGCTTAAGAACATAGAAAAGTTTTTTTTTCAGAGCAGGTTAAATGTTTTTGTCACAGATTGAAAAAATACCAATGGCGAGAGAAAGGAATTGAGAAACAGCATGTGTGAGGATGAGATGGACCTGAATCACATACAGAAAATTTGGACGGTTAAAATATCAGACATCTTAGAAACATTCCCATCAGATTGAATGTTGTTGACATAGTAAGTAAAACATTACTTGTGTAGGTATGTCAAAAACATATCTACATAAATAATGTAGATATGTTTTTGACATATCTACATGAGTAATATCATTTGAGATATTTCACATATTTTCTCAGTCAGATAAGTATGGAGGTTAAAGTGCCAATGCAGATGTTGCCTGCCTGCTATAGACATTGAACGTTATCCATTTGGTTTTCTCCGGTGCTGCTTTTGGGGTGCAGAGCCCTTCTGGAGTATAACTGACATTCAAGAAAAATATTTTCGCTCAAAATTAGAAAATCCAGATAAAACCTTTGACGACCCTGTAAAATTTATTTGTGAAAACAGCCCTTTATATTTGTGGTTTACATGACATTTTAACATTTTCAATGTCTCTTGCAGGTGTCTTTTTATTTTTCTGTCCGATTAGCTTCTCGGACGTTTTGTTGTTTCACAAAAAAAGTAAAATGGCCTTGTTTCATAACCACTCAAGTGTTTCTGTTGCTTTAATTGGTTTCAGATTTCTGAAAAATGTGCTTTTGAAGCTGGTCTACATTCTTGCTGAATTCAATTCAACATTTTTAAAGTCCCAAATCTACTTATTTTAAATGTTTAACATTAATTACAACGTTGTTTTGGTAGATACCATATTGCTTTTAATTGCTTTTGCAACGTTTCTTGTTTTTTAAATACCAATTTTTGTTCATTTTTAATACCTCAATTTATCCAAACTGAACTGATAATTTTTCAAAAGTGTATTGACTTGAGGTCATTTGAATTTTGAATGCTGCCTCATTCTTTTCAAGTAAATGCAATGACTGGTAGTGAGAGTAAATGTTATTTCACATTGAGATTCTTCAGATTCCCCAGAGATAGTCTGCCCTCCACCCCCCTTTGATAAATTGAAAACAACTGTTATAATTCCGTTGAGTGTCATAGTATTAATGGCAACATATAAAATGTTTTATAGTTTTAATAGAAAGGACACCATGATATGGGTAAATAACAAGTACTTTCTATGGGCCAGGGTGATAACAGCAAAAGAAAAAACGGTATACATTTCAGATTGATTTGCATGTAAAGAAATATATAGCTGAGTCACAGTGGGGCACTGGGTTGCAGGAATTTTGCTGTGTACTGCCCAGCATGCATAGTAACTACCTCGTTCATCCCCTTTCCCCTTTCAACAATCCCCAAAACAGCTGGAACAGGGATAATATAAATTTTCTAACTCTGACCCTTTCAATAATCCCCATTTGTTTTTGCTAAAAGCAATTTTTGTTAAAGTAATGTACTGTATGAAAGTATATCAGTGTTTTTTACTACTTGCCTACAATATATAAGCATTGTAAACTTTGTGTACTGATGTTGCACAAGGATAAATTGTAAAGGGACTGGCATGTTTATTTGCCCTGTATGTGCTGCATTGTTGTCTGTAAAAGAACTGAAAACTTAATTACAAATTGGCTTTTGTCTTTTTTTTGCTTTTGTACAGTTTTAATAAAACTATGAAGTTGCAATTGTTGACTTCATGAGAGCTTTTTAATAAAATTGTCATTGAACAAAGTTATGAATAATGATATTCAGATTTAATTTTGATGGCTTTAATTTGATGGTTTCCCTTTATCTAGTGACAGTCTGGGCCTTGCCTTTGCCAGTTCATATCTCCTCAATGGTGAAGGCTTCCTCCAAGAATCTTGCTTTGTCTTTTATCCAAATCCTTTTTTCCGCTCACCATGTCTCAAGTTCCTTCAAAACCAATGTACACACAAGACTTTCATCCCACAACCAGGGAGGCTATTTTCCCACCTTTGCGTGTGACCAAATACACAAACAGGCTTTATCTTATGAGTCATCCTCTTCTTAATTCAAAGAGTCAGCAGGATGTGAAACACGTAATGAGAAGTAACTGTTGAAATCAAACTAATATAATAATAATCCTTGCATTTGATATAGAGCCTTATCACGTCTTCGAGACGTCTCAAAGCGCTTCACAAAATATATAAAGTGAATTTTTCTATATATTGTATGGGTGAAACGTGGTAGCCAATTGCACACAGCAGTGTCTTTCAGACAGTCATAGACTGAGTGACCAAATTATTTTTGAAAGGATTATTACCCCCGGAAAAGCAAATTGCCAATTGACTAACAGTCCGTTTCCTACTTACTGCTAGGTAAACAGGCATGTGGAGTAAGGAAACACCCAAAATGTAGCCCTGCTCGGGAATCAAACTCGGGTCCTCTTGATTGCAAGGCGAGAAATCTAACCACCAAGCTACAGAACTCCACTGCAGGCACCCAAGATGGGGATAGGAGTGGTCAATACAAGTGTAATGTCAACTTCTGATTTTGGTGGAGGGCTTACAATTCTACCAGTTTATGTGTTCACAACTGATCAATGATTTCACAGAATTTGTGTTGATAACTAGATGTTAAGCGTGTTTTAAAATGGAAGTCTGCCAATAATGCTGTTGCATTATTGTGGCTGGAGACGGGAAGGAAACTGATCCATTGAATATCGATGCTGGCCCTCTCAAAAATAACTGAAGAAAACTCCGCAGAAGCAACATTGCATAGAAGCTGCATAGAGCAGTGCACAAAATACCATGCTTACCACCTGTGAAATTGCTTTTTGTAACTTCGAATTGATTTAAAACTGATTTGATGACTAATTTGAAGAATGTATTTTTAAAAACTATTAAGGGGTTGTGAATACAATCTGGAAACCTTATCAGGATTGATTTCCTCTTGGGATGACCTATTTAGTTTTGCCCAAATTTATGTATCCACCTTTCAGGCCTTCATGGCTCTCGTAATCTTAAATTCCACTCAAGCAAATTATGTTGCATAAGGCATGGGTTTCATTCCACGGAGAAGCTGAGATTCAGGTTTTGACTGTTAACCAACCACAATTGTTGTGCCCAATTCCTGACCAAGGTCTGACCGAGTTGAGGAATGTTTACTCAACACAAACTGAGAATCCAACCTTGGACCCTCCTTGTTTGTTAAGTTACATCCTCCCTAACAGTCCATCGGCAGATCTGGCTTGAGCACACTAAAACTTACCGCTTCTACCTCGGCTCTGCCAAATCATCCTTTTACTCCAAGCTAATCTGTGAGGCCAAGGACAATCCCAGGCTCTTCTTCTCCACCACTAACCGCCATCTTCCCACGCCTCACCCTCCCTATACATCTTCAACCTGTCTGTCGGATATCAATTCCTGGATGAGAGCTAACTTTCTTCAGTTGAACGTCAACAAGACCGAGACCCTCCTGATTGGCTCCCGTCAGCTCACCTCAGGCACTGCAGCATCACCATCCATGGTTGCACACTCCACCGTGCTAAGCCAGTCTAGAACCTTGGGGTCTTGTTTGACCCTCAACTATCCTTTCTACCCCGCATCCGTGCCTTCCCCCACCTCCGCAACATCGCCCGGCTCCCCCACTGGCTTGAGCACACCACAGGCCGCCGAAACCGTCATACACATTTTCATTACATCGAGGCACGACTATGCAAACTCATTGCTTGTCGGCTTCCCCAACTCCTCCCTCCATAGGCAGCAGATCATCCAGAATTCTGCAGCTCGTGTCTTTTCCTGCACCAGGCTCCACGACCCTATCACCCCCATCCTCGCCCACTCCACTGGCTTCCCATCGCACAGAGAATACAGTTCAAGATCCTGGTCCTCACCTTCGAAGCCCTCCATGGACTTGCTCCCCCCTACTTCTGCAACCTCCTAACCCCCTTCCATCCTGTTCGCTCCCTCCGTTCAGCGGGCTCTAGCCTGCTTCACATCCTCCGCCACACTCGCCCCACTATTGGTGGGCGGGCCTTCTGCCACTCTGCCCCCACCCTCTGGTACTTCATACCGCAGTCCCTCTGCCTCTCCCCCTCCTTTGCGACCTTCAAGAACCAACCCAAGACCCTTCTCTTCGACCGAGCTTTCGATCTCCCTGCTTCCCTCCCCAGCCCCCCCCCCCCCATCCTCCCTGACCCCGACCCCCAGCTAGGGTCCGCAACTCTGTCCAGCGCCTTGGGACATCCTCCCGACGTGAAAGGCATTTAACAAATGTCATTTTATTGTTGTTGTTCAACCCTGTCTCCCCCTCTTCCCTCACCTTCACCATCACAAAAATGAAGCCCACTACTTGCTCCCTCGACCTGATCCCATCCCTCTCCTCACTTGCCAGCTCCACCTCCTGGCCCCTTTTTTAACCGACATTATCAACCTTTCGTTATCCACTGGCACTGTTCCCACCCCCTAAAAACAGATGTCATCACCCCCATCCTGAAAAAGCCTTCCCTGGACCCATCCCCATTTCTCCAGATATCGCCCCGTCTCCAACCTCCCATTCCTCTCGAAGGCCCTAGAACGAGTCGTTGCGTCCCAACTTCACTCTTTCCTCTCCCACCGTTCCCTCTCTGAACCTCTCCAATCGGGTTTCCGTGCTGCCCAGGTCAAAGTCACTAACAACATTCTGAACATCTGCGACCAGGGCTCTCTGCCTCCTTGTCCTCCTCGACCTCTCTGCTGCCTTTGACACTTCCTACACCACTTCTCCTCTCAGATCAATTTCCATGGACCTGCCCTTGCCTGGTTCGAATCCTGGCTCTCCCACCATCACCAAATTGTCGCCACTAACGGCTTCTCCTCCAGCCCCCACACCGTTGCATGTGGCGTCCTTCAGGGTTTTATCCTTGGCCCTCCCCTTTTCAATATCTATCTGCTCTCCCTTGGTGACAGCATCCACAGACATGGGGTAAAATTCCACATGTCTGCAGATGACACCAAACTCTACCTCTCCGCCTCCACCCTCGATACCAGGACCACTGCTGTCCTCACAGACTGCCTGTCGGACATCGTCCTGGATGAGAGCTAGCTTCCTGCAGTTGAATGTGAATAAGACTGAGGCCCTTGTGCTTGGCTCCCGTCAGCGCCTCCATAACTCGGGTGCTAACAACATCTCCCTCCGTGGATACATCTCTCGGAGCCAATAAGGAACATCGGTGTCCTGTTCAACCCTCAACTGTCCTTTATACCCCACATCCATGCCATGACCCGATCCGCAACATCGCTCAGCTCCGCCACTGTCTCACACCGCCAGCCACCAAGACACTCATACACGCCCATAACATTCAGACTTGACTACGCAAATTCCTTGCTTGTCAGCCTCCCCAACGCCTCCCTCCATAGGCTGCAGATCATCCAGAACTCTGCAGCCCGTGTCCTCTCCCACACCAGGCTCAGTGACCCCCACCCCCACCCTTGTCCGTCTCCACCGGCTTTCCATCATACAGTGGATACAGTTCAAGATCCTGGTCCTCACTTTCAAAGCCTCCATGGCCTTGCTCCCCATTACCTCTGCGACCTCCTAACCCCCTACCGGGCCTTCAGCCACTCTGCCCCCAACCTCTGGAACTCCATTCTGCAGTCCCTCCGCCTCTCCCCCTCCCTTGCCTCCTTCAAGACCCGTCTGAAGACCCTCCTCTTCGATTGTGCCTTTGGTTACTCTCCTTTCACCCCCCCACCTTCACGATCCCGACCCCCAGCTCAGGTCCGAAACACCGATTGTCCAGCACCTTGGGACGTCCTCCCCACATGAAAGGTGCTATACACGTGTAATTGTTGTTGTACATACCAGGTGGTGTCTTTATCATTTTAGTGACTGAGATGCCCTCAATTTTGTTTTTTTATTGAGCATCTCTAGCACATTGATATATTAAAGCACATTTCTAGAATAAAAAAGTAATCTTGGGGCGACATCAAAATTTATCTAGATTATTGCAGATTTGAGTCTCAGATTTTCTGTTGCTTCTCATCCTCAAGTGTGAAGAAAAAGATTAACAGATTCACCCTTCCCTTAAATTTCCTGAATTAAGTCTGTTACACAGGCCAGTTCCTCTCTGGAATTGCATCCAGGAGTCTGCATGGACAGAAAATAATCTGTGCTTGGCGATTTAAAAAAAGTATGGATAGAAACATAAGGCCAAATGTATTCTGGTTTCCCACAAAACATGAAATTTTGCTCAGCCATACAGTCTCATACTTCAACGCAGATGTTTTGTCAACCAGAAGTTTAATAATTTTTAAGAGTTTGCAAATTCTACAATTTTTTTTTACAAATCACTCAGAAGTTGTATCCAATACTGATCTAAATATGATGGTTTAATTTTGTTTTGAAAGAAACTGGCAGTTTGCAATTTCCCGACTGGTCAAATGAATGTGAAATAACCTGACCTGGAGCCCTGATGAAAAATATGAAACACAGGAGAGCTCTAGATAATGTGCTGTTTTGGGTCATTACATCCAAAGTGTCATGCACTGTTCTGTACACTGTGAAGCAGGTGTGGTGGACTGCATGGGCAAAACGGCCAATGTGTTCAAGGATGTAACGGACAACCGTATTATATTTGAAATTGCCCAACGCTGAAATTACAACGGGATGTCATGTTAACTAGGAAGAGGATCAGTTCAGACGTTAATGAGGCTCTTTCCTTGCTTTGTGGAAGCTAGAAAATAATACAATGGGAAGTATTACCTTACCTTCTTTTGTTGGAGAGTAAGAAAAGGATAGCAAACAAAACTGATTCACAAATTTGTTCAATGTCCCACAATGTTAGGCTACTAATGGAGGCTCAGAGACACACTGAGCAGTCAGTCTGTCAAGCGGATTGAGGGGAAATGAAAATATATTATCCTTTGGCTGCAAATGTGTAACTGAACTAAAATGTAGCTCTTTGAGTGTGATTTGTATTTGTTAACGCTTACAAGCCTCTTATGAGAGTAACGTTTTTGTAACATGCTTTATTACCATTGCAGTTTGAAGATAACACAATTAAACTAACTATTTAACTGAACCCAATTGATAACATCCACAAGATGAAACCTTTAAATTTAACTACTTGTCTTCAAATGAAAACGTGTCCTCTTAAAGTTCCAGTTTAAACTTCTGCATCTCATCCTCTTTGTTGTTTTCTGGGTAAGGGGTAAGGTCAAAAGTTGACAGCCGACTGGATATGAATTCACCTTGCTATAAGGAAATCACATTAGTTTAAGGAGATGTCCAATTGAAAATGGTTAAGCTGTTTCTACAAGTTTCAAGGTTGTAAAAGGGACTGAGAAACATTATCCAGACAATTTGTTTACTAGTGAGGAGTTCAAACTCCAGTGCATATACATTTAAAACATACACATTTTTTGGTGGGGAAGAGGGTATAAATAAATTATGAGCTATTGCCAGTCAAATAAATTGCAGAAGCGGAGGCAACAAGATATGTTTATGTGATATGTTAAGGAAAGTAAATAGGGTCACATCAATCAAAATATAGCTTAAACCACATAATCATTTTTGAGGAGGCAGAACATGTAAATAGTTCATTAATATATTAATGTATGAATACAAATTAATATTTTTTAATTTTCTTGCATTGTTCTTGGTTGTGATTTTTATTTATTAACTTGAAGTTAACATGCTAACATTAAGGTTTTCTTGCATATGGTGTTGCCATTGCTTCGCAACACAAAAAAAACAATATAAAGTTATTCTGAAATATAAGTTTGTGGGAATAGTGATATGGTACCTCGGGATAGATGCCAATTAATGCGTCAGCCTTTGAGTAGAATTCCTCCTTCAGTGAGATCACAATCACCTGGAAGTTCTTCCTGGACTGTTCTCTAATATAATCTGTAACCTGAGTGAAAACAACATAGAATGTACAGGCCTAGAAAATACAATTGCAGTTTATTTAGCTGGTCTCAAAAATAATAACTGTTAGACTTAATACCTATGTTCCAGTTTTCTTTATTTCTACATACACTACTTCTAGAGTGCAATGCAATCTGCCTGTCAAGTCTGTTCCCTCGACAAACCATGTATTATCGTGGACTCCAACCAACCTCTCAAGGAAGGAGAAACAACAAGAGGCAAAATGTCACCTGAATTTAAAACTGTAACTTCTTATCTCTATGAAATTCCAAGTATGATTTCACTCTTGTCTTCCACTTAATGTAAAAGTCAACAAATTAAGGTGGTTGAAATATCATTTCACTTCTAAACTATCTTGGAGCTAAAAATCGAAATGACAATTTTGCTACATGGCTGGTGTATGCAGTTTCATGTTTAATGTTGGTCAATGTTGGTAGTAAAAACAGAAAAGCAGATTATTTTCTGAAGGGGGAGAAACTAGATAGTGTTAGTGTTCAGAGGGATTTGGGTGTCCTTGGACATCAGTCACAAAAAGTTAGTTTACAGGTACAGCAAGCAACTAGGAAGGCTAATGGCGTGTTGGCGTTTATTGCAAAAGGGTTAGAATACAAGAGTAGGGAAATCTTGCTGCAACTGTATACGGCCTTGGTGAGACCACACCTAGAAATATTGTGTGCAGTTTTGGTCTGCTTATTTAAGAAAGAACATACTCGCCTTAGAGGGGGTGCAGCGTAGATTCACTAGGTTAGTTCCTGGGATGAGGGGGTTGACTTATGAGGATAGGTTGAGTAAACTAGGCCTATATTCTCTAGAATATAGAAGAATTAGGGGTGATCTTATAGAAACATATAAGATTCTTATGGGGCTTGACAGAGTAGACAATGTGAGATTCTTTCCCCTGGTAGGAGAATCTATAACTATGGGTCACAGTCTTAAGATTAAGGGACAGCCCATTCAAACAGAGTTGAGGAAACACTTCTTCAGAGGGTATTGAATTTATGGAATTCTCTACCCCAGAAGGCTGTAGATGCTCAGTCCTTGAACATATTCAAGACTGAGATTGATAGGTTTGTAAAGGGTAGAGGGATTAAGGGATATAGGGATAAGGCGGGCAGATGGAGTTAGATTAGACGATCAGCCATGATCTTATTGAATGACAGGGCAGGCTCAAGGGGCCGAACGGCCTACTCCTGTTCCTAATTCCTATGTTCCTAATAAGGTGAAATGCAGTACTTACCTTTCCAATATTTGTGTTATCCAAAGCTGCATCAACTTCATCAAGTACAAAAAAGGGGGCAGGTCGGAAGCTGAAACAGACATTATCATATCAAAAATTTTTAGTTATTTGTAATAGTCCAATTTATTATTGCTATGTTACGAGTTCCCTTCAGTCGCCTTGAGGGTGAAGAGGGTAAAGATGCAGCTTGGTAAAGACAAAAGGGAACAGATCTGTGCTGAGTTAACTGATCATACACTGGGGAGCAGTTTGCCTCAGTGATCCTGGGTTGGAAGGAGGCAAAATGAGATACTGCTTTTAATTTCTGGCAAATGATGTGGGTGTGATTCCCTAGATTATGGTTGCCCACATCAGCAGTAAAATACAGTAGAACAACAACAAGATTACATTTATAGAATGCCTTTCACGTCGAGAGGACGCCCCAAAGCGCTGAACAGTCAGGTGTCGGGGCCCGAACTTGGGGGAGGAATGGTTTAGGGGTGGGGGAGGGCAGAAAGGTGGGAGAACGACCAAAGGCACAATCGAAGAGAAGAGTCTTGAGACCGACCTTGAAGGAGGCAAGGGAGGTAGCGAGGCGAAGGGACCATGGGATGGAGTTCCAGAGTGTGGGAGCAGAGGCTGAAAGCCCAGCCACCGATGGTAGGGCGGGTCAGGTGGGAGACATGGAGCAGGCCGGAGCCCGCTGAACGCAGGGAGTAGGCAGGTTGGTAGGGAGTCAGCAGGTCAGAGAGGTAGGAGGGGGCAAGGCCATGGATGGCCTTAAAAGTGAGGACAAGGATCTTGAACTTGATCCTCTGAGGGATGGGGAGCCAGTGGAGCTGGGCGAGGGTGGGAGTGATGGGGCCACAGAGCTTGGTGCGTGAGAGTACACGAGCTGCAGAGTTTGGGATGATCTGCAGCTTGTGAAGGGAAGAGTTAGGAAGGCCGATGAGGAGGGAGTTCCCGTAGTCAAGCCTTGATGTGTCGAATGCGTGGTTGAGGGTTTCGACAGCCTGAGGGGTAAGGCAGTGATGGAGTCTGGCAATGTTGCGGAGGTAGTGGTAGGCAGTGCCGCTCATGGCACCTCATCCAGTCACTCAAGGGACTGGGCAAAAGTGACCTACTTAGTGAAGTGACCTGATTACTGAAACAGGTCGAGTGATTCAGGTCACCGATGTAATGTTAAGGGCTTTGGTAATGGGCAAGGGTGATGAACATTCAACAACCATATTTTGCAATCTCATTAAAATAAAGGCATTGTCACATTTAAAACAAAACTTGTCAGGAATTCAGCCTTCCTTTTGAGAAAGCATCCAAATTGTGTTCTGCCAATGCCTTAGATCACAGCTAACTGTCTATGACTTTGTTTTTGATCACTGTTTTTGAGTTCTTTCCCACTCTCCCACGTAAGGATAACTCCTTCCGTGGTGGCATGTTTACAGCACTGACCAAGAATTGGCCTCAGGAGCTCAGGTTAGGCCACCGACGCCGGGCGAAGTCGATTTCCCACTCGCGCCGCTTCCACGATCCCAACACTCCCCGCGCAACCGGAGCCCATTATGCCCACATTAGCAGCGTTGAGGAAACAGCACGAGAAGCCTGAGGCCTAGCACCCTGTGTACTGTACCGGTTAGTAGCGTAGGGGGGAGGCTTGTACCGCGTTTGAAGTGGAGGAGAGCTCTGTAGCGGCTGCAATCAATGATCGTTGTCCTGAAGAGTGAGGTACCCGGTTTACTGAACCAGACAGCCTTTCCTTTAACATTGACAGTGAAAGAGACTGTGAAAATCTGTCCGCAATTGTGAGGTGGCTGGATCACCGAGGTGACCGCAAACCGGGTTTCTACTGTAGTAAGTTTTTCTGAGCTCAATACAGCAACTCCTCTTCCTGGCTCTACAACTTACAAATTGCGCATTGTAGTCAATTTTGAAAGGGAAGGGTAATATTTTTACTAAACTGAGTTGTTGAGCATTATTAACTGAGTAATTTACATTTTCCCACAGTTGAATAGGAGAATCTATTTATTCCAATTCATCACCAATTCAAAACGCAGAACAAACTGTCGAATATAAATTGTTACTGATTGCACAAACATCCAAATTTCTGAAAGTGCATCAGCCAGCACAGGAGTGCTTTTGCAATTGATATAGAATAGAGCCTTATGTTGAAATGTCTCAAAGCAATTACATTTTCTATACAGTGATTGTATTTATTGGTGGAATAAGTACACAGTAATGATCCACAAACAGCCGTGAAGTGATGACCAAATTTTTAATCTGGAGGATTGTTAGCCAGAACACTAGAAGAAACTCCCTTGGTTTTCCAAAGAGTGACATTGGATCTTTAACATCCAGCTGAACAGGCAGATCTCTGCTCCCATCTTGTCCGAAGGATAGAATATCCCAATAACACACTGTTCTCCTAACACTGTACTTCAGTGTTAGCCAAGATGATGAATCCTAAGCTACAAAGACCGTTGGTACTGATTTTTCTTACAAAACAATTTAAAATAATCTCTTGAGTGTAAAGAAACAGAATCATCCGTGGCTTCAACCCACAACCTTTTGACTCAGAGGTGAGAGTGTTATCAAGTGAGCCAGGTTGACACTCTATCACTGGTCCAAGGACTCAGCTTCTAAATTTAAAATCCTAAGTACCTACACCAAGCAAACGTCCACCAACTGGCTGACATTAGCAAGAGAATAGTCTTTGAAGTAAACTGTTCCTTATACAATGAAAACATTTGATATACACAGAAAATATAAATAGGTGGTAATATGGGAGTTAGCTAAGTCTGCTCTAATCAAATTAAAGGATTATAATGTTAATTCTTAGAAGCCTTAGAGTGCTGGTTTCAAGATTTTGTGATGTGCGTTGAATAGTTAAAAGCATCAGCAAACAAAACAAAAAAAAGGTACTGTATTTATAAATTTGGACAACTTATTGACCTAACCACAGACGGACAGGCAGGAAGTCACCAGACCAATTTAATGTAAATAACTTGGGATTATCACCTTTCCCTACCTGTGAATAGCAAAAAGCAGAGCCAGAGCAGCAACGGTCTTTTCTCCCCCCGATAAGTTATCCATTGGCATGAAACGTTTCCCAGGAGCAACGCAGTTGTAACCGATGCCATCCAGATAAGGTTCTTCTGGATTCTCTGCATTTAGAAATGCCTAGGAGAGGAGAGAAAATTTAAGGAGAGAAAAATGTCATGATTTTCAAACATAATTTACTCTCTCCTTCCCCCCCACCCCACCCAAATATACTGATTAATAGTGGTGTAGTTATGTAGGTGTCGACTGCCCTCTAACCTTGCAAGAGTTATGCTGTTATACTTAATTCCAATCACTTGATGGTGCTGTGCAGAGAAAATATTTTCTGCAGCACCACGAGCTGCCAGAACTGGCGAGCATTCATGTATTTCTTGACATACTGCTATGTGAGGTAAACTGAAGCCAAAAATGTCACAAAATTGAGGCAGAATTCTGTTTGGAGTTGGAACAAGACCACTTGATGTTGTTTTGCAAAGTGTGATTCAACTCGATTTTCTTCCAACCAATGATCCAAAACCACAGTTTTTTTAAGCATTCAGGTACAGTTGAGTTTGAATTTGCAGCTTTGTTTTAGGGACAAAAGATCTTCCTCTTTGCAACTAATCCCAGGTGATTAGTTAAAAAAACTTACTCTTGTGAAATAAATTATGATGAATTGAAGAAAGTTTACTTGCAAGATACGATGTTTCTGTGGAGCCTAAAGGAATCGACCCTCAAGTTACTCCAAAGTGATCCCACTGTTGGGAGCCATTTTTCTGACTAAAACCATTTAAAATAATTACCAATCCCTGAGTGTAAAAGAGTAGGTTCATCTCTGAATGTCCGACACCTTCACAATTAATTAAGGGCAATGTAGCCCATTTCAGTCAATAATGTTGTCACCACTTATTGTACAACACAAAGCTGACAACAATATTTAAATATAAATCCACCAACCAATACATAATCCTTGTTAACAAGTGGCTTTTGTAGTTTAAATATACCGAATATAACAAATAAGTTCCAAAATCAACAAATGGACTGAAAATTTAAGTTTTTACATTATGACAACTAGCTTTGCAATTCTTAAAAAGAGTACTGTTGTTGCCTTTTGTGCTAATGCTCACCTGAGCACTTGTGTTCCGACACATCATTTTATAGATCAAGTCAATTTTCACCGAAACATACTCAAAACACTGGTTAAAACGATCACATCGCTTCTTTTTGATGGTGTCAAAATCCTGTCTGCAGATTCTGGCTTTCTTTCCACTTGCCGTAAATGCTGGACAAAAAAAAAAGCAGTTTGATCAAACAACCTTAGAGCAAGTTAAATAGCCTATTCGGTATATGATGCAAAGATTGTAAAGGTTATTTTGTGAGTCATGCTACTCTTGCCAATTTCACGATCATGATTCAATGAATGGTATGTGTTGAAGTGAACAAATTTCACAGCTGATACTGCTTTTTCACTGCAAATAAATTGTTTTTCTGGTAACATAAAACTGTATATGTTTCACCCGTATTTTACTGTTGCCTTTTGAAATTGCAAGGATTGCAAGTTCCCAATACTTTAAGGGCATAAAATCATACATGAAAGATTAATTATATCAACTGAAACCTTGGATGAAAGGTCTGTGTTGGTGAAGGAATTAAGAGGTCTCTCCTATTCATGTCGACATGGGCTGGTTTTAAATGCTTTAGTGCCCCAGTTGCACAGAACCACCAACACGATTGCAATGGGAACTTTGCAATTGTACTGTATTTCTGCAGTACTCATGCCCTTTTGCAGTTGGGTACAGGAGGACACTTTAAATTCTTCCAGGTATGGAATCGTCCACCTTTATTGACATGATTATTAGGAATTTAGGGAATACGAGTACAGTATTGTCAAATATGACTGAATGTAGCCAGAATGTGTTCATCATCATAGCTCAGACCAAAATGCAGAGCCACAATCATGGCCTGCTCTTGTCCTGTCTGCTGCCTGGCATCATCATAACCAAGGTGAGTACACGTGCACTTCTGCTTCAAAGAATACAGCTGATGTAAACATTGGGAGACTGCACCCCTCCGAAGTGTGCCTTGGCAACAGAAAGTTCCTCATTGGCCACAATTTTGGTTGTCTTTTAGGGGAGGGAAAAATAGTTGTGGTAGGCAGGAAAATACATAGTTCTCTGTTTTGGTGTTGGATTTGTGACTGAAACTGTGATGGTAATCTCAGAAAAAAGCTCCAATAATTGTTGAAGTACAACACCTTAATCTGGCCGGAGAGAAGTGGTTTCTGGAAAAAACATCATTGACTTTGTGCATTATTTGCCAAGTTTGAATTGTACTGACCTCCAACTAGTCTCCAGTAGCTGCACTCCATGAGTAAATACCACTGAATATCACTTCATTGAAGGGAAAGTACAGTGTGTTCCTGCTACATTTCCTTCATTTTTGCCAAATATGTTCTTCAGATGACTAACTAATGTCTAGAAGTCTGCACATTCAACTTCTTAAATGTCAAGTATTCTTGAAGTTATTTGTTGGGGAGCAAGCTAAACTCAAATTATTGAGTCAATAAAACCCAGTTATTGATTTTCCTCTTAATAAATATTAACAGGACGCTGTAAAGGTATATGACTAAACACAAGTTAAAGTTTTGCCCGAACACAATAATCTTTGCTTTGATGTGAACCTAATCAGGTGATCTAAGCATCTCAAAGCATTTCACCAGATCACACTGTGAAGTGTAGCGACTGTGTATTCGTAGTTGACCATATGTATACATTTTCAAAGTAGAGTATTTAAAATTCTCATTTCATTGCATCAAATCAAGAAATGCTATTTTCATAAATTCTGTTAGTGAATGTACCACTATCTGAACCTACCATCCAATGACTCTTGGAACTTGTCCCACAAATTGTGAAGCTTTTCAAAGGCTCTAAGATTTGGAGCTGCAGTCCTGCGTAAAATATTCTCCTTTTCTTCAAGCAGTTTATTCAGTCTATTTTGCTCTGCCGCAAACTCATTAGCAGATGTAAAACCCTGGAGAAAAGTCAGGAAATCATAAGCAGTATTACTTGACGATTGGTTTGTTGTTGAGATCTTTTGAAGGCTTCCATTCATTTATAATTAACCTGTATGTTAAGTATCTTGAAGAACATTTAGTGGGAGTGAAAAGGCTCAATGAAGTTTCATGATAAATTAATCATGATACGTTACACTTTGTTAAGGAATACAGGTAACGTCTACCAGTCAGCGAGAGGGTAGGCTTCAAGTTAATGAAGCATTTGCTCCTCCTTATTGAGTGACAGCATTCTCTGATTAACCTGTTTGTTCATAAAATTGTTCCATCCCCTCCATTGTTGTTAAAGTGAAATGATGGACAAAAAACAGCAACTGCATTTATATAGTGCCCTTCACTCTGGGCATTGTCTCGGAATGCTTAAAAAGAAACCTATAAGAAAAAATGTAATTAAAAACTTCAAAAGGTAAAGGAGGAACTAGGCTTTACCAAAATTCAAGAGACTTCCTTCAATCAGAGATTTCTCCCTATGAGATTCCTTCAATCAGAGATTTCTCATTGTTGTTAAAGTGGAAGTGATTCCTTACTTTAAGATCTGCTGGTAAACTGCTGTAGTCTATTTCCAGAGCAGCTTCTCGTTCATAGATTGTGGTTGTGCTTTGGGTGCTGTCCACTTCTGTTCCAACCTAAAAAATGGTGTTGACATAAAATCTGTTCACTTTCAATGCTTGCAATGGAACAGTTCTGATTTTCAAAAAATAACCATGGAGATTTCTCTAGTTGTTTGTAAATCGTTTTATTTCAGGTTTTGAATGTTTCCCATCTGATGTTTCCCATCATGCCTTTCTCACCCTTTCGAACTCCATCCAAGTCCCTTCACCTTGCTCCCTCCCTCCCTCCCTCACCTCCTTCGAGGCACGTCTCAAGACCGTCCTCTTTGACTGTGCCTTCGGCCACCCTCCTACCCCTAACTTCCCTTGTACCTTGATACGTTGTGAATCCCTCAAGCGGCTTGGGACGTCATCCTGACGTGAAAGCCGCAATATAAATATATTGCAATGATATCCTATTTTGTATTTAGAATAACTTTTATCTGTGTTTGAATTAGTAACATAGTAACGTTAGTGTTTAATAAGTAAACTGAAATAACTATCCTTCATTCATCCCTACCTCACTAATTTCGTCCAGTGTGCCTTGGAGGAGATCAATCTGTATATCCTGGACTTTGCAGGCCAACAAAAGGTTGTGTCTCTCTAACTTGTTTTGTTCAATAGAGGTTTCCACAGATATGTTTTCTTTCTGAAGTTTTGCTATCTCCCTAAGGGTAAACAACATGTTTCAATTTTTCCTTATTTTGGGGCATGCACACTTTAGTCTTGGCAATGGTGGCCAGCCCTCAACAATGTATTAGTCTAATGAATACTCAATTTAGATTCTAAGAAAAATTCCAAGAACGTGCATTCTGTTTCAGGGTCATTATGTTGACTTATCTGACTTTTAAGGTCTGATTAAGCTCATCTTTCAAAATCTTCATCACCACAATAAACCTAGGAAGCAACCAAATTCTGAAACCCCTTCAAAACAAAGCTATACATAAAAGCTAGTGTTATTTAACAGAAAAATATAATAATTTAAGTTTTTATGATACTATAACGTTGAAATTAAGTGTTTAAGTGCTTCGAGACGCTGCTATATAAATATATAATATAGAAATATAAAAGGGTGCTATATAAATGCCGGTTGTTATTGAAGAAGAGAAGTGTCAACATCTACAAGGAAATGCAGCATTCAGAAGAGACAAAACAATACTTTTACAATCACAGTAATGAACTCTTTGCTACCTTTTTCTCATGAATACCAATGATATACATTATTTGAGGTTTACCTCAAATTATTTGGCAAAACTGTTTCCAAACTAGTACAAAGTGATTGTAATTTTATTCTGTATTTCTTAAGATTTTCTTTTTATTTGTTTAATTGAGCAACTCCTCCCTAAACCTCTGAAACTTTCACTCCAACAGTATTTAAATCCTGCCTAAAAACACCTCAACTATGCCTAGGTCACCTTCTTCCCCCACTCCCACCCACCACTCGTTTGTGAAGCACTCGACATTTTATCCAAGCTGTGAATACGCAGCAAAAATCGAGCTTGGGCCTGACCCAAAGAGGTGATTAAGTACATAAAACATACCTGCTAATGTTTGCTAATTTCTTCCTAGCTTCATCAACTTCTTTCTGTGCATCTTTGACTTCTGATTTTTTCATTATCAGCTGGTTATTGAGATTCCGTTGATCCACCATAGCTTCATCAACTATATTCATCAACCGTGTCTCTTCCTATGATTTACAACCGCAATGTCACATCAGGTAGGAGGAATTTCCACTTGGATAGTCAGCTAATAAGGCGGGATTGACCCGTTGGTAAATAAAACTCCAGAAAGAAAGATAGCTACAAAAAAGCAGCATGGGAGTACAGTATCTTCCAGGATCTAATACCACTTTCTGGCAAATAAAATTCATAATGTTTTGTGCAATAGTTACATCAAACAACGGCATTACATCAGTTTTTCTCTCAAACATTTTGAGGTATTCAATGTCTGTCACTTTGCTGAGCAAAGTGACAGACATCCTCCATACAGAGGAGAAATCTCAGGAATTCGGATCACTGGGTACGTGGCTAAAGCGGAGACATGTGAAAAACTTATATTTCTGCCCTCTCAGCCGTAGCAGGTGAGTTCCGCTACATGTTTACACGGAGACGGGGAATTAAAAAGGGCATCAATATACAGATATTAGTGATTGATGTAAATGCAATGTACATTAATGCATTTTTTATTTTAAAAAGTCAAAAAAAGAAATGTATGCTGTGCACAATTGGCTGCCGCATTTCGCCCACAAATATACAGTCAATTCACTTTACAGTCTATTCTGTGAAGCGCTTTGAGACGTCTAGAAGACGTGAAAAGCGCTATACCAAATACAAGGATTATTATTATTATTATGTGGGATTTGCGTCCAAATCAGTATGTATTAAAACTGGATGCCATTAAGTGGAAGCAAGTGGAGTTTGACTGCTTTTCAGTATTTTCTCAAATCAGTTTTTATTTTATTTTTATTTACCAATTTCTTCCCTTCTCTTTTGAAATGACTGAATCACACTGAGGTACAATTTTAATCATTGGCTGTGCTTCAGTACTTTACCAATAGCTGTCTGGATGTGTGCGTCCATACAGTGAGTCTGAGTAGCCAACTTGAACCTCACTCAGTATCCACACCGTGAACTCAGGGACCTTGCAATCTAGCAGCGGGGGCTGTAGCATTTTATTTTACTTTTACTTAGTATATTCCAATAGCACAGTAATTGACCCAAGCAAATTTGTTTTACTCAAGACTTTATAAAATTCTAACAGCAAGAGCATCTCAATAATTTACCTTCTTCAAATGTGCTAGTTCTTCATCATGCTTTTCAATAGTTTCTTGTAATGAACGCATCTTTTTCACATCCTCTTTACATCTGCTTTGTGAATATTCCAGCTGAATTGTCAGCCTCGTCCTCTGGTTCTCAAACTCAGATCTGTCAGTGTAAAAAGATAGCCATTTAGTTATGCTTAAAGAGAAAGCAAAGTCCAGCATGTGCACTTCCCATTCAAAATACGTCCTGTAGCTTTGGAAGAAAGAGTCTTACAACATGTTACGTGTAGTCAGGCATTCAGAATTCCTGAAATCCAGAAAAGCATGGCACCATTCTCCTTTGTTATTGAACTAAAACAATTTATCGCTTAGTTTCCTATCTACTTAGATTTGACTATTTGAATCTGAACATTCAGCAGAGATGTTCACTCATTATCTTTGTGTGACACTGACCTGAACAGAAACTTCCACGCTCAATTCTGGCGTGTGTTGAGTCGTCTCAATTTGGGCAGTTGAAGGAGGTCCTACAATTATGGGTTACAATCCCAGGAATCCTGATCTTGGATTCCCATATGGTAAATGGTGCTCCTGAAGTCATAGGATTCACTGCAGAGAATCCCAGCATTTGGAAAATGTATAAAGGCCGAGCCCGAATGGAAAGGGAAGGGGCTCTTCCGCTCCGCCGGAAGTGGGACGTACTTTGCTGCGAGGATGAGGAGGCCGGAGTGGACAAGCAGGTGTTTAAACCTCTGGGGTGCCCTCCCCTCAGAGGACCCTCCTGGTGCAGAGAACTATTGCAAGCATCCTGGACAAGGTAAGATTTGGGATCCCAGATTTTGGGACATTGAAATCCTGAAATCTTGGGTTCTGAAAAAGCACCGGGGATTGCACCTCTGATTGCAATAATCACACCTTATGAGTGGAATTAGAAAAAGTGCTAGATGCAACATACTATTAAAGTGTTTTCAGACTGTGCAGAATCTGTACTTTTAAAATGGGGTTGTTTCTTTGATGCTAAAAATATTTTCCTTGCTCGCTTTGCAACATGCAGCTGATTTTGAAAATGACCTTTTTTTATCGATGTCCTGCTGTTGCTTCACATGCTCATTCTCGAATTCACGAATGTTGGCGACACCAATTTCTGCACAGAAATTTTCAAAAACCCTATCTTCAACCTGCCAGAGAAAAGAACAAGTCACAATTTTGCTTGAAGTCATCTTTATTGCGCTGCCAGCCACTCCCCCATACCTCCCCATTTGCTACTATTGATCAACATTGGAGATAGAGAGATGACTCCAATGTGAAAATTATGACCAAATAAGAAACTCCTTGGCATTTGTTTTGCACTGCAATCTTGTTGAACCAGCAAGTGGGTTTGCCCTACGTTCTGCATTTTTATTCACAAGTGATTATGAACATTGTTACATATTACTGTGTGGAATAGATGTTTGCAGCTGTTATCATTTTTCTTGTAGCTGTATTTTAAAAGGATACTCTTTGAAAAGCGACCCAAACCAACAAGGCTGAAACACCACAGAAATGCAACAAGAATAACAATTTGCATTTATATTGTGCCCTTCATGCGGAATAGCATCTCAGAGCAGAGCACTTAAGATGAACATAGAGGAATTTGTCAGATCTGCAGATTAAAAATGTAATATTAATGTTCTCAAGTGCTTGCATGGGACACTGAATTTGCCATTCCCTTTCTAGACTGAAGACTATTTGACTGCAAGCACATCCTCAGCAGAATCCAAAGCCAGGCTGTGAAGCAAGTGCAAATTAACACAGAAACAATCAATGCCAGAGAAGCTTTGGTCACAGGCATGAATCCTGTTGTGATCGCAATTCAATGGCATCTTGCTTCCTATCTTCAAACCTGCAGCTGAATTACAATAACCTGCAGTTTATTTACAACATGTTAAATTATATACCCAGTAAATTCTCAATAACCCTATTTGTTATTGATGTGTATTTCGCCCACAAAATACACACTGAATCCTTGATGTGAATAAGGTAACACTCTTCCTTGTAAAACAATAAGTAAATCCTTTTACAAAGTAAATATTCAGGTCGATGAATATTAGTTAATGTTTACTCAGCAAAAATGGGAAGAATTGGCATTTTTGCGTTCATACCTGGTCCAATCTGACACAGTGTCTTGCACTTACTTTGATTTCTCTTTTGTATTGCTGTCTGTTTAGGAAGCCTGTTCTTGGAAATATATTTTTAAAAACCTACTTCATTCATTATATGCTGAATCTCCTGCATTTTCTCCTCTCTGTCTTCAATGCTTCTGTTCACCATCACCATTTCCGACTTGAAATTTGTCAAACTGCTCTCCAGCCTTGATTTTTCCTAAATGAATTGCACAAATAAAGATTGTATGTTGGATTAGTTTGACATGGTGTACATCAAAGTACTTGATAAACTATATAGGTTATCGAGTACGTTGATGTACACCATGTCAAACCAAAAAATTCTCTATCCGACTAGTCATAGTGTCAACATATAGTTGCACGGTTTGCACTTTGAGATCATGCATTGGTGTTTGAGAGAATGTGCAGATCTTGGCTTTCCTCTCATATTTGCTGGACTTTTGTTCTCCATCAAGGATATTCCTATTACACCAAATCTGCTAAACTGTGACTTGGATCTTCCTGGGAGGTCTCACTGAACTTGGAATAAGAATTTAAGCAACTTCCTGTTTGGGGAATGCCTTTTGCTTTTGCCTAGACTAGCTTTTTAGACTATTTTAGTCTCTAGCCTAAGGCGAGGCAATGTTGCATGGTATAGAAATAGGGGTGAAATAAGGTGTGTGAATTGTATATTCTATTCATCTAGTTTAGGAAAAATGTAGTGGTTTATTGTCTTCCTGTTTGAATGTTGTGCACAAGGATTGGAAAAATCTTGTTTTAAAATATTGGGTGTAACCCTCCATTACTTGTGATTAATGTCCATCTTGTTACATTAACCAATCTCTCTTTTTTTTTATATTTACAATTGATCAATTCTGGTTGTTTTCATTATGACGAGGAAGAAGAAAAGCAAATCCATTTCAGGCAGGATTGCTGAGTTGTAAATGAGTAATTGAAAATATGAATGTGCCTTGTATTTGGTATGGCATCTTAGCACATCTTTGAAACATCTCAAAGCACCTTATTGGATTTTATTGAATTCTACAGTACAGTGATGGTGTACTTGTAGGTGAAAGTGACAGCGAATTTGCATACCAATACTCCACAAACAGCCATTTTAACTGGGGAATTGTTGGTTACATCTCTGGGAACAACTCCCTTCNTTTTTCAATTCGTGCCATGGTATCTTTAACGTCCAACTTGTTCAGGTTCCAACTGAACCTGGACCTCAGTTTAACATCTCTAATGGACAGTGCATCTGGCAATGCAGTGCTCCCCTGACACTGTATTGGACTCTCGGCTTAGATTGTGAGTTTGAAGAGCACGTACCCAGAATATGTGGTAAATTGAACCACAACCAAGTTAATACCTAAAAAAGACAATTCTTTGCTAATAATTTGAAAACTTTAAACACAAATATAATTCTATACAATCTTATTGCAAACTATGTGTATCTTAAAAGAAAAAGTGATAAAGAGCTTTCCTTGATCACAGGAACATCATATGCAAGCTCACCATGTAGCAGTTTGCCAGACGTTTCTTCTTAGTTTGCTCCAGGTCATTCAAGGAATATCTCATTCTTATCTCAGTACCCTTGGCTTGAGCCTGCAACTGTCTCAACTCAGCTTCTTTCCTGTTCACTTTCATTAAATCCTGTGAGGTAGAGTTGCAGTTATTACAACAGTAATTTCATATCTTTGCTCCTGGCTGTGCCATTAACATTCTGTGCTCGGTACATATAAATCCTTCAAAACATGCTTTTATTCAAAAATGGCTTGAACAGTAAATATACTGTGTTCCAATGATAAGTGCCAGTTCCCAACATACCCGGAGTTCAGTCCTCAGCTTCTCTGTCGTTTCTTTCAGCTGATTGATTTCCTTTTCATCCCAGCACTTGGCTTTGAATCTCAGATCACTTGACCCTCCAGAGATAAGACCAGATTTTGTGAAATGTGTCCCATCCAATGCCACAGTCTGTGATGAAACAAGGAAACTAATCAAGTAACTTACTGTGAAATGATACTTTTTCAAAAATAAAATCTGATTAATCTTAAGGGTACTGTGTACAGTTCTGGTCGCTGCAGTACAAAAAGGATATTGGAGAAGTCGAGAAGATACAGAGGAGGGCAATCAAAATGATTGAGGAATGGAAGGACTGGACTATAAGGAGTGACTAAGTAAATTGGGCATGTTCACACTGGAAAAGAGAAGACTGAGAGGCGACATGATTGCCATCTTTAAGATTCTAAAGGGGTAAGACAATATGGATCACGACAGGCTATTATTTCAACTTATCCAGATTAGTAAAACCAGAGGACACGGCCTCCAATTGAAAGGGGATAAATTCAAAATGAATCTATGCAAACACTATTTCAGTGAGCGAATAATGAACCTGTGGAACAGGCTTCCTATGGAGACAGTTGAAGCAGGAAATGTTGATTCTGTCAAACACAGGTTAGATAGTTTTCTTTTAGGAAATAACATTATGGGATATAGTACATAGGTAGTTTGGGACATATGTGCATGCAACTGTCAGGAAGGTGGAAGGTGAACTAAATGGACCTTTGTCTTTTTTTGTGACCATTTCTTATGTTCTTATATAATATGTAGCAGGAATTCATCTATTCAAAGCATTCTAATATCTGCATAAACTCCTGCTGTGCACCAGCTGAACTTTTCTTCAAATTAAATATTTAAACCATATTCTCTCCTCATTGATACATTATGATACACAAATGGGATGCAACAGCTAAGGTCATATTCCAAACAAGCACAAGAACAGGCAGGTCAATCGAGAACAAGTTACTCGGGGAAACTAAGGATGCTTTTATGCACGACAATATCAAAAGATCAAGTGGTTCCACTTCAAAGTGCTCCATAACATGTTTCCGGCAATTTTACCCTGGTGGATTATTAAGCATGCATAATTTAATAGTATGGGGGATGGGGAAATTGGAAGAGAAATTTATTTCCTTACTTGAAGTCTCTCTGGTCCTTCAAATGCAATTTGACGAGCTTCTTTCATGCTCTCGCATACCAGGGCGTTCCCACAAACAAACTGGATAACTTTCTTGAGTTGTGGTGACACACTTTGAACAACATCGATCATCATTTTGGCTCCTTTAATCTCTCGCAGCCGTTCATTGGTTGGTTTTATCTGTAATATATTTATTAATGCTATAGTACATCATATAATTTCTTTACATTTCACTGCAGGAATATTTCTGTGAATTAATCAACATTCAATTATCTGTTGCAGTTAATGGGGGGGGAGGAGGAGAGGAGGAAGACAAGGGTAGAGAGAATAAGAACTCTGGTCTCACTTCTGACATTAATTTTAATCTCTCCGACACTGCATAATGAAGGCCATATTGCATATTTTGTACTCTCTTCAAACCGATAGTCAGATCAGATGGTCCACTTTACTCAGTAGATTCAACCAAGGTTTCAGAAGTGCTTGACAGTGGCCAAACCTGACCCCGAGCCAAGGGGAAAGGGGGTAGGTGACCATAAGCACAATCAAAAAGGAAAGTCTTTAGGTGGGATTTGAAAATGGGTAGGAAGGAGACAAGGTGGAGGGATTGAGGGAGAGAGTTCCAGAATTTTGGGGCGTAGTGGCTGAACTCACAGCCACCGATGGTAGAATGGAGGCGACGAACAGGAGGCTGGAGCCAGCCGAGTGGAGGCAGCAGGTGGGGGAGTGGGTGGTAAGCAAATCGAATAGGTTGGGAGGCCCGAGGGCATAAAGGGATTTGAAAACAAGAGGATCTTGAAATCTATCCGTTCAGTAATTTGGAACCAATGGAGCCTGGCAAGGACTAGTGTGATGGGGGTAGAGTTTTCTTCAGGTGAGAATCCGGACGGCAGAGTTCTGAATTAGTTGTATTTTGTGTAACGTGGAGCTGGGGAGACCAGCGAGGAGGGCATTGGAATCACACAGGAAATGAAGAAGGTGTGGACACGGGTTTCGTCTGCTTTTGTTGTGAGGTACGGATGGAAATAGGCAATGTGACGGAGTTGGAAAAAAGCAGTCCTGTTCTGGGAATAGATGTGGGCTAGAGAGGAAAGCTGGGGATCAAACCTAACACCTAAGTTGCGCATAGGTTCGGTGAGTTTGAGTGAGAGCCGTGAAAGTTGAGGAGTTCAGACCCGCAGAAGAGAAGACATTGACAGTAGTTAATGAGCATGACTTCCGTCGTGCTGACCTTCAGCTGCATTAGGTTAAATATTAGGTTAAAGGGGACTGCATTTGAATTTGAACTTTGCATTTTTAAATTGTCAAATCAATTTGACTAAAGCCTTTCTTTTTTCTTAACTTTCTAATGGTGTTTGAACTTACTTCAAGGTAATCGAGAGGCAAGAACGTCTCCGGCTCAGCCCTTCCCTCCTTCAGATATCGAATGCAATCCCTTGCAACTTTTTCAGTGGAAACCACAATAGCATTGATGTACCTGCCAAAGATTTTAGTGGCAGCCAGCTGGTACCTCTTGTGGATGGGGTGGCATAGATCCACAAGTCGTCCATACTGTATAAATAAGATGCTACCACATAGTCAGTGTGATTTTCCCACTTTTCATTCAGAAAACAAGATGGCAAAAGAATATGATTGGATGTGTAACAGTTAGAATTGTGTAAAACAAATATTTCAAATCATTACCTAAGCAGTGCAGGAGTTTGGGTTTTGGATCAGTACTATGCACCCATCAGACTTGAAAATGCAAAATTGTTACTATTCACAATTATTATGGAAAAAAACGTTTCCCACTAGTCTGTAAATTGTAAACGTTTCAAAATACACTAGGATCAGGTTGCAACCCTGGAGTTGTGTAAAATTGAAATACAGAACTGTCAAGGACCTAACAATTTGACTCAAAATGCAAAGGCTTGTTAAAAGTGAATCAGAAACTGAAGTCTTATTTTACGCGCAAAGATCACCAACACTTTTTTTTAGGGATTCCTGCTTACCACATGTTCTGGGTACATGCGCTTCAAACTCTCAAAAATTTCAGCTTTTTTCTGTTGGCGACGTCCTTCGCGATGATCAATCTTTGCGTTCTGCAAGTCCTTGGCTACCTCATTCAGCTCTTCACTGACTTGGCCTATACGGACTTTAGAACTCTCAATATACTTAGTCAGTTCTTCTTCCTGCTGTTTATGCCCACCCAGAGTAGTCCTAGTTTTAAAAAGTTAAATATGATGTTGTAATATTCATAGAATTATTCTGGTGAATATAGTTGCATATGACTTGAAAAGATCAATTGATAGGGTATAAATGAGATTGTACACCACAAGAACAAGATCAATTTCCAATAGCAAAGGAATATCCTACTTTGCTAAATATTAAAAATGGTTCTTGGCTAAACTAGAAACAATTCCCCTCACAATAATAATCCTTGCATTTGATATTGTGCTTTTCACGTCTTCTCGACGTCTCAAAGCGCTTCACAGAATAGACTGTAAAGTGAATTGACTGTATATTTATGGGCGAAATGCGGCAGCCAATTGCGCTCAGCAGTATCCCACAAACAGTTGTGGATTGAAATGACCAATTTATTATTGTTTTGTTTCGGAGGGATTATTATTAGGTGTGTAGAGTAAGGAAACTTGCCCAAGCTTTCGCCCTGCCTGGAACTGAACCCAGGTGTCTCGCTTGCAAGGTGAGTGCTCTAACCGCTGAGCTACAGGACTCTACACGCCTGCAATGAGCTGCAGTAAAACAAGTGCTGATTTTCTAACCTCCTCTGCTGAGGCGCCGACTTGATCTGATATTATAATAATCCTTGCAATTTTGATACAGATTCTCAATCGCTTCAATCTCATGTCATCGAGACGTCTCAAAGCATTCCACAGAATATACTGTGAAGTGAATTGACTGTGTATTTTATGGGCGAAACACAGCAGCCAATTTCACTTAGCAGCGTCCCACAAACAGTGATTGAGTAACCAAATTACTTGGAAAATTACTTCCAAAATTTGGAAGTGTTTATTACCTCCTCAAAGTGGTCCGCCAATCAACTAACAACCAGGTTTCTACTTAGTGCTAGGTAATTAGGTGAAGTAAGGAGACTTGCCTAACAACTTTGATTGTGGTACACTGCTGTGTGCAATTGTCTGCCGTGTTTTGCCCACAAATATACAGTCAATTCATTTTACTGTATATTCTCTGAAGCACTTTGAGACGTCTCAAAAATGTGAAAAGCACTATATCAAATGCAAGTATTATTATTATTATATAACTTGCACTTATATAGCGCCCTCCACGCAGGGTAGCGTCTCAAGAGCGCTTAACTGGCGAGCCTGACTCTGAGCCGGGGGGAAGAGGAAGGTTTTCAGGCGGGACTTGAAAAAGGTGAAAGAGGGGGCAAGGCGGAGGGAATGAGGGAGAGTGTTCCAGAGTTTTGGAGCATAGTGGCTGAAAGTGCGACCTCTGATGGTGGAGCGGAGGGTGCAAAGAACGAGCAGAAGGCCAGTGCCAGTTGAGCAGAGGTACTGGATGGTGGAATGGGGAGTAAGGAGGTCGGAGATGTAGTGAGGTGCCAGAGAGTGAAGGGATTTAAACACGGTATGAGGATCTTGAAGTCGATCCGTTTGGTGATGGGGAGCCAGTGGAGCCTGGCCAGAACTGGTGACATGTGGGTATGGAGCTTGCTCCGGGTCAGTATGCGGGCAGCAGATTCTGAATGAGCTGGATCTTTTGAATGGTGGAGCTAGGGAGACTGATGAGACGTGCGTTGGAGTAATCCAACGGGAGGTGACATTTTCCGAGATGAAATGGAGGTGGTTGGCTAAGAAGGACTTGAACTATGCGAGTGCGACTATGCGACTCCCTCTGCCACAGCTTCCGCCACTCCCCACTTACGAGGAGGGGGGAGTGGCAGAAGCTGTGGCAGAGGGAGAAGGCAGTGTGGATGGTCTGGGTGGGGTGGAAGATGACATGGGTGGGAGGGGAAGGAAGGACGATGCAGTCAAGCGGATGTTTTCAATCTTTGAGGTAAAAATCTTTGAGGGCCTAAGGTTTCGCCCTGTTCGGGAATCAAACCAAGGTTCCTCTCGCTTGTGAGGCAAGTGCTCTAACCAATACGCCGCAGGACTTTTTGGTCTGCATGATCAATGGTGTGACTCGTCATGCAGAATTTTACCATCACTGGAAAAAACCTGCAATTGTGCAGCAATATTATTTTGCTGTCTGAATGAGGTGTATTACTTTGTAAATGAAAACTTACTTGCAGTTATCAATATATTCCTCCAGCTTTTCTGCTCTTTTCAAATGATCTTCTATTTCATGTTCTGTGTGCTTAACTTGGAGCTGAAAATAAAAATTAACTCCACTTTAATATCTTTATCCTTGGTTTTAAAATTTCACCTGTACTGGGGAAATAATAATATAATAATAATCCTTGCATTTGATATAGCGCTTTTCACGTCTTCTAGATGTCTCAAAGCGCTTCACAGAATATGCTGTAAAGTGAGTTGACTGTATATTTGTGGGCGAAACGCGGCAGCCAATTGTGCACAGCAGTGTCCCACAAACAGTCATGGATTGAAAATGACCAATTTATTATTAAATCTGAGAAAGAGATTTAATAAAATTTAATAAAATGAAAGAAAAAGAAATGGAAGGAATCTAACCTGTTAAGCATAATGGAACTTCAAAGATCTATTCTACTTATTTTAAAAATGTTAATCTTCAGACCACATCATCATGGGAGCACCAATGCTTTGGACCATGCACACATTTGTTGCAGTGGAGCATGTCGACTTCTGCTCGTATACTTATATTTCTGTTGCTACAGCTGCTGTAACAAATCCTTACTTGGCCAAAACTGAATAAGAACAAATTCTCTCAAAATCAACTAGGTCAGGTTTGTTTATCGCACAAAAGTGATTGAAATTCTGACAAAGATTCCAAATTGCATGCAGTATCCACAGGATACAACTATTGAGTCAGTTTGGCTCAGCTGATTGCTCTCTTGCCTCTGGGTCAGAAGATTGTAGGTTCAAACCCTGAGTCAAGTCTTTGAGTTTACAGTCTAGGCTGATACTCTACCAGTACTCTACTGGGGGAGCGTTGAATGATGTTTTAAACTGAGGTCCATTCTGCTTGTTCAAGTGTAACTTAAAAGATCTTATGACTTATCAAGATGTTTCTTGCACTGTCCTGTCAACAAACCACCCAATAAATTGGTCATTCATTTGCTGTGTGTAGCACTTTGTTGTGTGTAAATTGGCTGCTTTATTTGCCTACAAATCGCTTCACAGAATATGCTGTAAATCACTGCACAGATATCTGTTACATTGGTCATTCTTAGAGATTAATTTTATTTAATAAATTTACATTTCACAGTAATTCATGTGAAGCACTTTGAGATGCCTTCTGACATGATAAGGTGTGATATCAAATGCAAGGATTATTATTATTAACAGATTGATTTTGCTGCCCAGTCCCCAAAAGACTTTGTGAGATTCAGCTCCTTTGACAATAGGAATTGATCTACAAGGTTGTGAGCAACATCAATAATATGACTTCAGGAATGTTGCTTAAAATAGCTATTGCTGAATAATTCCCATAAATATACAATAAAGCTTCACACTAGGCTACTTACTGTACAAAGATGTTCGTTATTGGAACTGTTATTGATTTCATAGTTAGTTTGCAACATAAATTCATCCCCCTACATTCATACCAAAAATAGGTCATTTATTGTCTGTCAATTCTATCAAATTACTTCCAAATCTTTACTGTTCCTTTGATCTAGTTCCAGCTTGTCACGGTCAGCCTTCTGTTCCCATCTCAGTTTCTCCAATGTTTGAGTCATGGTGGACACCTGTTTTCTCACCAGTTCCTTCAACTCCTTGTATCGTTGAATCTGTAAACACAAAGTATTTTTGAAGTCTAATCCAAGGTCAACAAATCGGAAACTACAAGAGACTATCAATATATAACATAGTCGCCCACAAAATATAGTCAATTCACTTTACAGTATATTCTGTGAAGTGTTTTGAGATGTCTTGAAGACGTGATACGTTGCTATACCAAATCGAAGGATTTCTGAGTTTCCTGAGTTCTACATAATAGAGTTTCCTGAGTTCTACATAATAAGCACAGTTGAAGTACTTATAAGGGGGCCATTTTCTCTTTCCATAGTTACCTTGGAGCCTTTTTAGTGCTGTATTCAAATTGACTGCTTTGTTTGCGTACAAATTTACAATCACTACACAGATATCTGTAACATTGTTACATTAATTTTATATTGATTGTATTAATCCATTTAATAATTTTAATTTCACAGTAATTCCTGTGAAACACTTTGACGGGATAAAGCGCTATATCAAATGCAAGAATTATTATTATTAACTGATCGATTTTGCTGCCCAGTCCCCAAAAGAAGACTTTTGTGAGATTCAGCTCCTTTCACAATATTAATTGATCCCTCCTCAAAAAACGCCCCTTTGATCTTTCTAACCTTACAAATCACCGTCCCAATTCCAAACTGCCCTTCCTTACCAAAGCTCTGGAGCTCATTGTCAATCACCAGCTTTGCTCACACCTCGAGCTACTCCAGTCTGGTTTCCACCCTGCCCATAGCACAGCTTGTCCAGGTCGCAAACAAAGCCCACTCTCTGTGATCAGGGCTCCCTCTACCTTCTTGTTCTCCTGGATCTCTCCACCGCGTTCGACATAGTCGACCACACTATCCTCATCCACCACCTCTTCTCCCTCGTCCACTTTAGTGGGACGGCATTAGCCTGTTTCTAGCCCTACCTAACAAACTGCTTGCACTTTGTTTCTTGACACGGTTCCTCCCCCACCCTCACCCGGTCATCTGTGGTGTATCCCAGGGTTCCATCCTTGGCCCCCTCCTCTTCCTCATTGACATGCTCCCACTTGGTGATATCATCCTCAGACATGGGGTAAACTTCTGCCGAAGTTCTCTCTGCTTGTCTGGCAGACATCAGGGACTGGATGAGCGAAAACTTCTTAGAACTAAATGTCGAAAAGACAGAAACCATACTTATGGGCTCCCGTCAACGTCTTCTGTCCTGTATCTCTGACCTCCTCAACCTCCCCGAGCTATCCCTCACTCAGCGAACCGATGTGCAACCTAGGCGTCAGGTTCAACCACAGCTGTCCTTCCTTCCCCACATCTGGTCCAACCAGGACTGTCTTCCACCACCACCGCCAATTGCCCGTGTCCAATCGTACCTTACCCCAGATGCAAACGAAATACTCGTCCACATGTTTGTCAACTCCCGACTCGACTTTTGAAATGTCCTTTTGGCCAGTCTCCCCAGCTCCAATATGCACAAGATCCAGCTAATCCAAAATTCCACCCTCAGATACTCACCCGCACTAAACTCCGTACCTGTAAGTGGAAAGTGCTACGTAACGCAAGGATTATTATTAAAACTATTATGGTGTTCTTGTATTAAAACATGTGCTTACCTGACTCTCCTCCAGTTCCATGCTGTGTCCTCTGCTGATAATTTGTTTTTGTACCTTTTGCTCAAATGCATCCCATGCTTTATTCACATCTTCAATCTCTAACTTCAACTCCTTCACCTCTTGCTGATGTGTGCTATACTGCCTCTCACTGTTCTCCAAAGATTTCTTTGCTATCTCGACTTTTTTAATGTGGTGGCTCGTATTTTCCTTGCCTTTGATGTAGTTGGGTCGTTTTTCATTCAGGCTAAATTCATGTTCTCTAATGTTGTGGTCAGGAAAAGAGAATTCACCGATTAACAATTAAGTAACTAAAATGAAATCCATTTGACGTGGCAGCAGTGTTACAGCACCGCTGAGTAACAGCTCTCATTGCTGTGGGACTGCCAATCGCAGCTGTGCTGTTGTGGACAACTGCCAAGCAGAACCCAGGTGCTTTTTCAAATTGCAGGGAAATGATCACCAGATTACAGATCTCGCAGCCAAATCAACACACAGTCCTGGGAAGCAATTCAAGCTCTCAGTACATTTGATTTTAGAAAGATGCAGTCAGAGAGATGAATTTGGATAAAACAAAGGAATGTGTTTGCAAAAGGAAACTGTACTGAAAAGAAACTAAACATGGAATCAGGGCTTAAACAGATAATAGTTTAGACAGTGCCTCCTGTAGCTTTCTGTTGGAAAGATCTCTCATTTCTCCATTCTTTCCCCCATGTAAAGTTGCATTTAAATCATGTACTTAGTTTTTTCCTCACTCCCTTTTCTTGAGTTGTGACCGCTTAAACATGCAGTTTAGGTGAAAAGCAAGAAGTCCCCTTTTGTATGCATTGTGTAAGTATGAGCATTTATTTGTGCAAACTATAAAATTTAAACAAAACAATATTTAGTTTTTTTTCCAAAGTGTTTTCTGGAGCCTTTGGAAACATTTATTTAGCCAAGTTTACAACACTGGCTAATTAAATAAATCCATAATCTTGTGACACATTTACCCAAATATTTGGGTCTTTGTACATCATTGTACCACCCAGCCAGTCTAATACAAAAACACTTATAATTTTCAGTTTGTTTTAAGTTTTGAAAATCTACTCACATTCGGTACAACTGTATTCCTATTCTATTTTTTGTGCAATGACTTACTTAATCTCCTTCTCTATCTGTTGCTGTTCTCGGATCAATTTACCCAGCTCTTTTTTCATGGCTTTCACATGTTGCTCTGCTGCTGTCTGCCTCTCTTTCCAACTGTTTATAATTTTATTCTTCTCTTGGAGCTTATTGTCCAAGTCCTCTATGAACAACTCGTTGTGGTATAAATGGAAGAGCTGCAACTGAATCCTGGTGTTTTTCAGATCTTCTATGAACATATTGTAACGATCTGCCTAAATATTCAGTCATAAGAATATTCAATATCATTAAATCACCCAATACAAGTGACCAGATGCAAATATTCTTTTCAAAATATATGAAAGGCAATAGAAAAAATACAGCAAAACTCTCTCAAGGCCCTGCAAGGTTTGAGTGTAATTTGCATTTGCTTCATGGCAAATAGTTGTAATAAGAGTTCATTCACAATTGGGTACATGTATTTGTAGTTAAGCTTCAATGAATGTTCTTTTGCATCATTTGAACGAAAACTGAGGTAGCCCTGAGGACATTATAATTAACTCTTTCACTACCAAAGTCAACTCCATTTTACAGTGGAATAAATAATAAACGCCACCAGCATGGGCCAATGCTGAGTGCTGTGCTGTGACTGTATTCAACATTTATACTTTTGTCAACTTTGAGCAACTGAAAAATATTTCACTGCCATCAGCAAACATTATTTTCGAACCTGTTTTTAGAGGGGCGGATATGAACTAGATTCTCATATAAATAAACCAAGAGGTTTCAAAATAATTTTTCAACGAATTTCTGTCAGAGCTAAAAATCAAATGCATACCACAAATATATTGGCATTACTTCACTTATCAACTTTACCAACTTGCCATGCTAACAATAACGTGGTGTTTGCTGTTCCCCCAAACTGTGCAATGATTTAAAAAAGTCTTATCATTCAATCACCTCTTGTTTCTCATGTTTCACGTGGTTGCGCTCAACTGCTGCGCTTTTTTTCTTATTGTAGTTGAACCTAGCTTCTTCTTCCGCCTTTGTAAGTTCCTTTTTCTTACTTTCATATTCCGCAGCCAATTCTCCTGAGTTACTGATTTGTTCAAATAGTTGAGTTCTCTCCTTCGGTTTCTTCATTGCTATGTTCTCCACAGCTCCCTAGCGCACAGTACAGGGTATTAAAACTTGAGCATAGGTAATTGGTGAATTATGTCTACATTCAACAAAGTAAGTTACAGTCCTCACTGCTTGTAAATTAAATGCTGTATAGAACTTTATTTGTACTTTACTATTTTCAGTCAATAAATGCAGCAGCATTTTCTGTACTTTGTTCTTTCTTTTCGGTCAGCATCCAAGCATCGCTAGACATTGTCAATCACGCTCACTAATCAGCCCACTGGCAACGACAACAACTTGCATTTATATAGGGTAGCGTCTTAGATTGTTGGCAGTCCTCGAATATTGCAAGGAGTGAAACTCCAGCCAAGCCAGCTCAAATCGATAAAATCCATCATCTTAGTCAAAGCCTGAGTGCAACAACAACAAATTACATTTGTAAAGCCCCTATCATGTCGAGAGGATGTCCCAAGGCACTGGGCTGTCAGGGATTTGAATTTAGAGTGCAAATGTAAGTTAAAATTCCATTCTCTAAATTGGATCTCCAACAATGTTATGTTTCTGCTACTTGAATGCCATGAATCATTTTCACTTCACGTGTAAATTTTTTTACAATGCTTCATACCTGAAAAACTAAGCAGTTTCTGGCTTTCAGCAGAATACCAATTTTCTCCAGCTCACTTGTATATTCCATGCGACTGATAGCTCTACCATTTAAATGAAACGCTGAAGAATTTCCTGACAAAAAAACATTGTTAAAGATAAAGTTTAGATTTTCAATGAGCAAAAATTCAAAAGTTTTTTACAACTCTGTATCTTGCTGTTAGATGTAACTAACTGTTGGCAAAACAAATCAAATCCAAGATACCCTCCATGTATTTCGTAAAGATTAGGGGATTCCCAAATTGCAGATATTCCAGTCATCAGCATTTTATGATGATGTTTGATGAATGAGGTTTGTGTTTTTTATATACAAATGGGATCCCCTACGATTGCTGGATACCAGGCGCAATATAAGAGTCTGAAGGTAACTGGATCTTTTGTTTTGACAATGGTCCACTGGCAAGTTTTACCGCTAAATGTAAATGTATTAAATTGTTATTCTGTAAGATACCTTTGGAACAAACAGTCTTGTAAAAAAATTTCACAACCAAGCCCCATCCTGTCACCTGTAATGATTCTTTCAAATGTCACTTCATTTCCATTCTCCTTTTGGTACACCATGGATACCTTGGCAACAGAGGATACAGGAGCTCCTACGTGAGCACCATGAATCAGATCTCTGAGGTGTTTCACCCTGAGATTTGCAGTTCTTTCACCCATGACAAAACTGATGGCGTCCATAACATTGGATTTTCCTGTTAATGAAAATAATGAAACATGAAATGGTTAGTTTCAAGTGCTGCAGAACCCACATTGAAGTACATAGGCCCTAAGTGTTCAGAAGCCTATGTAATTCAACACATAATATTGAAAATTACTTTATCAAACTAAAGCTAATTTCAATGAATTGAAAGTTAATAATCTAGCTCCCGTTCAAGTATATATGGTTATAAAGATTCATTTCACAGCAGAGTAAGCACGTGTGTAAGTACACTCGACCTAATTCAACTCAGACAATAATGGTGATTCTGCCGTCAAGTGTTACACTCTCACTGTGTGTCAGCCTGGCTCAAAGGTAGCACTGAGTCTGAAGGTTGATGGTTCAAGCCCCATGTGGAGATTTGGACTCATATACTCATATACAACTGATGCGCTGGGGCTGTGCTGCATTGTTGGAGATGTCGTCCTTCGGATGAGATGTTAAACCAAGGTTCCGTCTGCCTGTTCAGGTGGATGTTAAAGATCTCACAGCATTATTCGAAAGGAGAATGGAGTTTCTCCCGGTGTCCTGGTCACCAATCCCCCAAATAAAAAAATTGGTCAATTACTCCATGGCTGTTTGTGGGACATTGCTGTGCACATATGTGCTGCTTCGTTTGCCTACAAATCCAGTCACAATTCTTCACAGTATATTCCATGAGGCACTTTGACACGTCCTTCCAACATCATAAGACGTTTATCATAAAATATTACAAACAGAAGGAGGCCATTTGGCCCATCGTGCCTGTGGACGACACTTTGGAAAAGCTACCCAATCAGTCCCACTCCCCAGTCTTTTCTCATACTCCTGCAATTTTTTGCTTTTGACGTACCTGTCTAATTCTCTTTTAAAAGTTGTTATTGAATCTGTTGCCACCATCCTTTCAGGCAGCACATTCCAGATCGTAACAACTCTCTGTGTAAAACAAATTATCATCTCCCCTCTGGTTCTTTTACCAATTCTCTTGAATTTATGGTCCCCTGGTTACCGACCTATCTGCCAGTAGAAACAGTTTCTCTCCATCTACTCTATCAAAACCCCTCATAATTTTTATCATCTCTATTAAATCTCCCTTTAAACCTCTCTGCTCAAAGGAGAACAATTCCAGCTTCGTCTCACACTTTCTCTGCATAAACATTTCATCTGCCATGTGTCTACCCATTTCACCAGTCTGTCCATGTCCTCCTGCAGTCTGCTACCATCCTCCTCACTGTTTACTACAAGTTTTGTGTCATCTGCAAACTTTAACATTTTGCTCTCTATATCTGGCCAAGTCATTTATGTTTATCAAAAAAAACAGTGGACCTAATACTGACTCCTGGGGACACCACTGTATCCTTCCCTCCAGTGTGAAAAACAACCACTCACCACTACCCTCTGCTTTCTGTCTCCCAGCTAATTTAGTATCCATGCTGCCACTGTCCCTTTTATCCCATAGGCTTCAATTTTGCTAACTAGTTTATTATGTAGCATCTTAACAAATAATAATAATCCTTGCATTTGATATAGTGCCTTATCATATCGTTGAGACATCTCAAAGCGCTTCACAGGATACACTGTAAAGTGTTGTGACTGTCTATTTTTGTGGGTGAAATGCAGCAGCCAAATGCCTTCTGAAAGTCCATTTACACTACGTCAAATGCAAGGATTATTATCACTAGATTTGTTTGTCTCAACTTCTGGATTGGATCTGGAAACATCTTCCAGTGGGTTATCTAATTCCTGAAGTCAGTGTTGCATTTAACCAGAGGATTGCATGTCGATGCAAAAAAATCCCTGGCAGACTGGAAGCAGACTGGCCAGTGGCGAGAGTGGGCACAGGGACACACAATTTTAAGGTACAATAATAATCCATGCATTTGCTACAGCGCCTTATCGCGTCTCCGAGACGTCTCGAAGCGCTCCGCCCAAAACGCTGCTGTAAAGTGAATCGGCTGCGTATTTTGTGGGTGAACGTTTGTGCGTTGTCGTTGTCGCAACGACTTGAAGTTTTCCATTTCTATCAGCTGCGAGGCCGCCCATGGCTGCAGCTGCTCCCTGGGCCTCTGGTCAATTAACCCCTCAACTAAAACAATCGGTCACCCAACTCCGTGGCTGCCGGTGGGGGCCATGGCCGAGCGCAGTGCAGTGGCTCTCATTTCTATTTTTACTGGTGGAGGCGGGGGGGGGGGACTCGCAACTCCACGGGAGCACCCCCTCCTCGCTCCCTCCCTTCCCTCCCCTCCCCCTGACCATTCCCCCCTCCTCGCTCCCTCTCTTCCCTCCCCCTGACCATTCCCCCTCCTCGCTCCCTCCCTTCCCTCCCCTCACCCTGACCATTCCCCCCTCCTCGCTCCCTCCCTTCCCTCCCCTCACCCTGACCATTCTCCCCCTCCTCGCTCCCTCCCTTCCCTCCCCTCCCCTGACCATTCCCCCTCCTCGCTCCCTCCCTTCCCTCCCCTCACCCTGACCATTCCCCCCCCCCCCCGGGCTCGGGTCCTGACCCCCAACTGTACAGAGCCTTGGGACGTCCTCCCGACGTGAAAGGCGCTCTATAAATGGAATCGTGTTGTTGTTGTTGTTGTTGTTGAGGCGGTGGGGGTCCGCTACCTGATCCATTGGGCCCAATAATGCAGGTGAAGCGCATGAACGGCCCGATCGACTGACGGCCTCGCCACGACTTGAAGTCTTCCACCTCAATCAGCTGCAAGGTGCCCATTGCGCGGCCTCGGGCCCCGGCCCCCTACCCCCGGCCCCCTGCCCTCGGCCCCCGGCGCTCTGCCCTCGGCCCCGGTGCGACCAACCGCCGTCGACTTTCCCCGCAGCGAGATTGGCGCGAAGGTGCAGGCGCGGTGCGCAGGCGCTAACTAACCACACCCCCTCCGCCACCGCCACTCCCCCCACCCCCCCGGGGCTGGTGGGAAGGTGGTGGTGGGGGATATCGCGAGACTTCGCACTGCGTCGCCGGTCGCCTGGCAACCGGTTGTGATGACGACGAGCGACGGAGAGACTGGCGCCCGTGTCCGGCGGCCGTGGCCGAGGTCAAACAAACCGCACCGCCCCGCGCGCTCCCCCCAACACCGCAGGCCGCCGGCTCTCTCTCGGTTAAAGTTACCCCCCACCCCTACCACACCACCTCACCTCACCGACAACATGTACAAACTGGACCTGAAGGAGGCCGCCGCTCTGTCCAGAAGGAGAGACCTGGAGGTTCAGAGGCAGAACAGGATTTTTAACGCCAAAGTCAGATTAATTGGGGTGGGTATTGGTCATAATAGTCCTGACAGTTGATGTAGCGCCGAACCACGTCGTCGAGACTCGAGCGCCCAGGGACGCCCCTCCCAGCGCTTCACGGGATATACAGTACCAGTCCTGTAAAGTGGAGTGACTGTGTATTTTGTGGGAGAAACGCAGCAGCCAGTTAGTTTGCCCACAGCATTGCCCCGCAACCAACGCCCACTTTTATTTGGGGGGTTTATTGGCCAGGACACCAGGAGAAGCTCTCTTTTATCTTTCCAATGGTGTTGTGGTATCTTTCTTTAACGCCCACCTGCACTGGCAGATGGGAACTCAACTTGACCACTCGTCTGAAGCACTGCACCTCCGACATTGCAACACAACCCCCAGTAGACTGGAGTGTCATCTCAGGTTATATGAGTCCAATCCCCAACAGACTCAGAGGCCGGAGTGTTCCCCCCGAGTCAGGCTGACATACAAATGTGGGGGTTCCTCCGGTAAAAAGGGCAATTTAGACAAAAAAGTTAGCAATGTCATAGGCACAATGGGTCAAACGCCTCCTTCTTGGTAAGAAAGCCTCTATTTTCCTATGAGCACAATGAATGAAATCATGAAAATAATTGTTTTTGTGTTAAGTTTTCCAGATTTACATTTCTACCTTTATTTTGCAAAAAAGGTCGATAAACAAGCTTTGGATACCCAAGTCAGAGATAATCAAATTCAGAAGGAGAAAGAGTCCGAAAAACATGAAGCCTTTGGTAAGTTCTGATGGTTCCTACAGTAGTGAGCAAGACTGAATGAAAATAATTTTAAAAGTATTGTTGCAAAGTGGTGAATGCAAAGCAGAACAATCTGTTGAATGTTCAGCTCCAATAATTCTTCTCTCGAATATCCATTTGGTTAGATTTCACTTTTGATCTTGAGAAAAAAGGATAAAATGAATACTTTAATAGCTGCTTGTGAGTCAATGATAGAACAGTTAAATTACCAGGGAAATTGTGTTCTTTGTTATACGATAATCCAAATATAGTTAGCAACAGCTTACTTAAATGTACGAAAACAATGGAGTAAGAAAAGGCCTTTGGGACCATAGAGGTCTATGCATGGATCGTGCTTAATCTTGCCTGCGGTGGAAAGTGCTGTATAAATTACTGCTTGAGCCACAAAAATAAAGCAACGGTCAAGAATGTTTATCCATCCCCACATCTCCACTATTTAACTTGGGTAAACTTTCTCCTCGGGTGATTGCATCCTTGCAATCCTTGGTAGAAAAAACATCATGTCTGGTGGCCTTATTGATTATCTCAATCCACATGAGTCCCTACAACCATTAATGGTATTTCACTTCAGTGTTGTTTCATAATGGATTTTAATTGTTGAGGTGGAATTCATTGGTGCAGTGCCAAGTAATTGGTTATTCAGTGCTTGGCTGTTTGTGGAACATTGTTCTGCACATATTGGCTGCAAAATAAAATGGTGAATACACTTCACGATAAAAAATTAGTGAAGTATTTTGCGACAGCTTAACAACGTGATCAGGTACAATATCAAATAGTCTATCAGACATATTATAGTTCTTGCATTTGATATTGTACCTGATCACATTGAGATGTCTCAAAGTACTTTAGAATTTTTTTTATCGTGAAGTGTATTAACTTTTTTTTGCAGCCAATATGTACACAACAATGTTCCACAAACAGCCAAGCAGTGAATAACCAACTTTATTTGTGAGATTGTTGACGAATACACCTGGAGTAATTCCATCTTTTTGAATAGTGTTATATCAAATGTAAGGATTGCTTTTATTACAGTTAGTATCCCATTGGTGGGTTACACTGGGTATCCTGTCATGCTTTATGCATGTGAATTGCTAAATATTGCTCAGAAGGAGATTCTTGTGCTAACTTTCAATTTGACAAGAGGTCAAACCTGTTCCTGTCACCAATCTGTGTGACAAGTTTGTGTCCATCCTTGGGGAGGGATGGTGGGTGGGGGGGGGGGCGGGGAGTGGGGGGTTGATGGGAAAGGAAATAAGTGAAGTAAGCATTTCCCAGTGCCATCAAGTATCAAGTCTGTATCTCTGTTTGAGTGTTGTGACCTGACATTTCTTCTCTCATATTTTGATAAAGCAAAAGACTTAATTAAACACGACCAAGCAATGGTTCTCTTGGATGAGCGTTACAAAAAAGACATGAAAAACTTAAACAAGGCCATCATTGAATTCCGTCAAGAGTACCAGAGACCTGAGATGCGTCGTGAGTTCGATCTTTATGACCCACAGGCTTTGAAGAAAAGTCTTCCTGCCCGAATTTCGGACGATGACCCTCGCTGCACCATATCCAGCATGCAGAAGCTTGTAGGGGAAGACATAAAGCAGAGAGAACGAATAAAACAACAGCAGGAACAATTCAGGGAGTGGTCGCTTGCCCAGCAGAATGAGCTCAAGAAAGCTCTTGTAGACAAGAAACATGCAGGTTAGTAGAAATTCAAGAATTTAATGGAGTACTTTTGCACCAGCTTTAAGAATTTTGAAAATCTGCAAAGATCTGTTACAAATGTAAATTTAGTCGGCAATCCCAACAAAGTTTTTTCATGGGCATGGGTCCATCGTACAGTCTGGCCACAGCTCTGCCAAAATGCAAATTTCAGGCAATATGAGGATAGATGATATGACAAATGAAGTACACTGTTTTAGTGATCATTGCTGTTTGCTTATTTGGGTTAAGATGTATTACTGGCGCAATATGCAGGAAGCTTTGCTTTGCCTCCGGTCGATTCTGTATCTGTAGCCCCTTCCTTCCACCCACCACCTTCCGTGATTTGTGTTTATGCATTGAGCATTCCGCAAGTAGAGAAATGTTTCATTCCCATCCTATGGTATTCCTCAACTTATTAAAGACAACAGAAGATGTATTGAAAAAGTAACATTCAGAATTTTGCACTCGTCTGAGTTTTGCTGTTTGATTATTTCAGACAGTCTGTTCGACAAGAACAGGATAGATTTGGATCGAAGAGCTTGTGAACTGCAAACGATGGAAGAACAAACCAGGAGAGCTGTTACAATAACAACAAAAGATTTCAATAGAGCACAGGTTTCACTTTTTCCCATTTTTAAATACAAAAGTTGGCTGAAGTTAACTCAGCAATGAGGTTCTATGCTGAACATGCTGTTTTATTCCAGATTATTCCAAATCAATATGATCTTGTCTGCTCCCTACTGCATCAGTTTCATTACTTTTCTATCAGGCTGATCAATGAACTATAGTGAGCAATTTTGTTGTTATGGCATGTGGAGCTCCCAAGATTAGCTTGGTTTCTCAGAAGAGTGCCTTGTGTCATTTAATTTAACATTCTATGTTGATAAGGTTTAGGTTGTGCCCCAGAGTCTGCTAAAATTTCAAAGCCAGCCTTCTCCAGGTGGCAAGTTACATGATCTTAGAGCCATATACTGAAGTGCAGTGGCTTGGTGGGAAGGAGAGAAATTTAAAATTTAAAAAAATTGACAACAGAAAGAAAGGATATGGATACATTCATTTAATTTCTACTTTAGGCAATGGAAAATGCTGTGAGATGCAAGCTTGAAAAGCAACAAACTGAAGATGACAATTTAACGGAAATTAAAAATCAGCTTCGTGGCGACTTATTGTCAGAAAATCCAAAGCAGGCAATAAGTGCGTTTGGTGAGAAACATGTTATTCCAAGCCACTGGAAAGGGATGTCACGAGAGGAATTGGATGATATCTATCGTACCCAGAAAGTTCAAGTCGAGGAGAAGAAGGTAAAAATATCAACTTTATTTGTCTTTTCCAGTTTCCCCGCTCTTTTCCACATATATCCTGAAAGTGACTGATGACCCATGTTATGATCTGGCTTCACAGCTGTCTTGCAGTTCTTTGGTCAAGTAATTTCTTCCTGTGTGAATTTGGACAGAGATCGAATGTCTGACAAATAGGCATGACGTGACCAATTTTCTGGAGGATTGTAGGCCAGGATACTGGGAGAAGCTCACTTCTCTTTTCAAATAGAATCATAGCATTATACAGCACAGAAGGAGGCCATTCGGCCCATCGTGTCCATGCCAGATCTTTGAAAGAGCTGTACAAATTAATCCCACTCCACCGCTCTCTCCTCCAATAGCCTTGCTGCAAATTTATAGAAAATTTATGCAAAATAGTGCCATTGCATCTTTAATGGCCACTGGAATAGGCAGATGGGACTTTGGTTTAATATCTCATCCAAAGGAGGGCACCTGACAATCCAGGTTGCCTCCAATGCTCCATTGGAGTGTTAGCCAAAACTCTGAGTGAATTCAAAGTCCCAGCACACAGAACTGACTCAGGAGAATACTACTGAGCTTGACACTTGATGACCCCTTGCAAAATAATGGTAGAATCGCGGGAGGAAAAAAGGGAGTAATACTTAATGAGCGTTTGCCTACCAATACACAGTCACAATAAAATCCTGGAAGCTCTTTGAGATGTTTCGATGACGTGATAAGTCAGTATATCAAAATGCAAGGATTCTTATTCTGAAAAACTTCCATGGCATTTCGCCTACAAAATGAACATTTACTACACTTTACAGTGGATTCTGTGAAGTGCTTTGAGAAGACTCAATGAAGTGATAAGGCTCTATATCGAGGATATTTAATTATCAAAGGGAAATGCAAGGATTACTAAACTGCATTTGAAAAGTTCGAAAAGTTGAATAGTGATTGATTTCCATGCCTCCTTTGTGCCACAGTTACTATGCAATTAAACTGATGAGGAAGTTTGGTCTTTCATGCACCTCTATTTATGGAGATTGAGAACAGATCACTGATGTACCTTATGGCGAATGAATGGGGGGGTGGTGAAGCTAAAAAGACAGGGTTGATATGGAAAGCTATGAAGCGCAGTAAAATTCCGATGAAAACTTTATGTACATAGAGATTTAATTGCCACCACATTGAGAGGAGGACAATAATCTGTGCCAGTAACTAGATTAAGCAGTTGGCATTTCATAAACCTGGTACATGGCATTGGATTTGGATCTCTGGAACATCAAGGTAGCTGAGTCATAAATTTTCCTGTTATAGGTTTTCCCACTTCACTGAAGACAGATGTCCATCAATTAGTTTGAAGAGGAAGCTCCCGGGCTTGGGTTGATAGCTGGTGGATTTTATGTGGGGTCCATGTTCGTGAACACATGCTGATATATCCAGGGCTGGTATCTACCTTGGTGGGTGTGCAGAGATGTGAGCAGCTGCTTCTGAAGCTGTGCATTTTCAACTGGTAGAAGCACCACTGAATGGGTGGAGTTGTACTGTGAACTGTGCAGTAGGGGTGCTTCTAGTGATGGCTCATACCTGTGCTTGATGTGAAAAGCGTGATATAAATTGTATGTATTGTCTAATGAGTATACTCCTTGGGGGAACTAGGTGGAGGTTTTCCTGATGCTGAGCATAGTTGTCAATTAAATACCAGAATCGAGCAATCTTCTGTGGCTGTCTTGGTTGTCCAGGTTCTGAGCCAGGCAGGTACAAAATACAAGCATGAATGAAACATTGAAGAGCGTTTTATTGTTTCTGCACAGCGGCTGAATGAGGAAGAAAGGCAACGTAATGCCGAATGGGACAGGAACCGGGTCAATGATGCTCGAGCAGCCATTCTTTTCGAACGTCAGCAGAAGCGGGAAAACCGGCAAATACGCAGAACTTTAGACTGCCACAACAGCCATCTGTGGAAGGAGCGCAACGCACGGTGAGTTCTCAATCCATTCCAGCACTCTTTCTATAAACAACAACAACAAAATTACATTTGTATAGTGTCTTTCACGTCGGGAGGACGTCTCAAGGCGCTGGACAATCAGTGTTTTGGACCCAAGCTGAGGGTGGAGAGGGGTGGGAGGGTGACCGAAGGCATGGTCGAAGAGGAAAGAGGAGGGTCTTGAAGGAGGCAACATTGGGGGGGTGGGGGTGCCTATTGTTCACTTATTAACTTATACCACTCCCAATGTTTGAGAAGAGCAAGTCTCTTTAGTGAGGTATGCTATGGAATAGTCAAGACCCAGGTTTGTGTCCTCGATTTTTTGCTAAGCTGCTGTCAGAGGATGTCATACAGCAGCCCCAGGCTTTGCACAAGGAGTGAGGGAAGACAAAATTGCACCCTTAGGTTGTGAAATGGAGAAGAAACAAGTTAAATGAACAGCAGCGACATGAAAATGAATATTGCTGATGAGAAGTCAAGATCAGATTACTTCTCAGTGGGTATGACTTCAGTATCTGAATACAACAGATGATTAAAAAATTGTTGGGGTCCAAGAGAAAAATACAAGTGAGGACTGATTATGTCACACCAATCCAATGGAACTCCACTTCGAAAGCAAACAGTGACAGATTGTTCACACTGATATGCTGTGTTTTTTCACAAAGAATGTAGAGCACAGAAATCAACAACTCAGCCTAACACTGTGCCAGTGTTTATACTCCACACAAACCTTCTCCCATTCCTTACTTTCTCCTATACCCTTTATTCCTCTCTCCCTCATGTGAAGGTCTAGCTTCCTTTTGAATGCGTCTATACTATCTGATTCAACCACTGCTTCAGGCAGCAAGTTTCACAATCTCACTCCCCTCTGTTTCTGGTTTCTTATTGAGAAATAATTTTCCAAATTCCTCTACTTGGACCCAGTCTGACACCCCTTTGATCGTGCAGGTTGCCAATAACTGAAAAATTGGAATTAATTCTCAGCTGCTGCCCATAATCTCCCTCCCTCCAGGCTGCAGGAGGGGATACTTGTGAGGTTTGCAAAGGTTGAGATCTTCACAGTAATCTTCTGTTTTTGTTTTCACAGAGAGAACTTTCTTAAAAACAATGTCTACGTCAATGTTCCAACCTGCAAGTATTTTGACCAATTCAACACCACCACCCGTTGATGAGGTCCTTTTTTTACAAAGGATGTTTATTTAACAGAACTGTTCATTTCGTAAGGATCGTTTGTAACAGGCCCCTCTAATATCCATGCAGTTCGTATCTGTCTGTGTCTTATTGTGACACACACCTTTGCTGCACTGTGGCATCGCGCAGTTCTGCTAAATTTTAAAAGAAGTTTTAAAATTAGTAAGGATCATTTTATTCTCTTAAAAAAAACTGTTTCTTTCATAGATGATGTCACATGCTTTTCTATATTTGTTAGCGGTGACATTACTTTCTAGTTGATCAGCAGTTTAATCAAAAAATGTTAAGTGATTCCCTGCGGATGTTTGCTTTTCTTGACTGCAAAATAATAATTTTTTTTAAAAATCTGTAATAATATCTCAAAATAAAAATTCATCCATCCATTGGTGTGCCAGGAAGTGGAACATTTTTTTGTCCAAATAGATAAACCGAATTTGGATTAAATGGGTTTTGCTGGTATTTTAGGGACAGAAAGGTCTGTCTGTTCAAATCGACATTAAAGGTTTCATAACACAATTGAAAAACAAAATGGTGAACTATCCGGATTCATGGGTCAGTCACCTTGCTGTCTTAAAGGGTGCTGTGTTTGCTCATAAAACACTCACTAAAGTTGTCAGGAGTAATCAGCGAAATGCTTAAAATATTTTAGCGTGATAAATATGCACTATAAAATGCAAGTTATTTTAATTATACACTGTTACCAACAAAAGTGCAGCATTAAAATTAACACTGAGCAACCCTAAAAAAAGCTGCAATTTGTCTTCTCCCTTAATACATCGACATATTGAGCACAGTTCCTAATGCTTCACAAAAGGGTCCATTACTGAAGGAATGTGTCAATTAATTCTTGTATAAAGTTGTTCCTGGTTGCAGTATTTTGTCAACTAATGGTGGCTCCTCACTGTCTCGCTTCCTTATCTTCCTTTAAATTATAATATGGTGCAGCACACAGCAGGCTATTTGTTTGGCAGGTTTTTTTAAGTGTGCTGTGAAGCACCCCTGAGTAATTTTAATGCATCAAATGTTTCCTCAATTCACCCAGTGCAACATTTTGTACCATGTTGTAAGAATTTGATTTAAATCTTATGTCAGATAATAATCTTGAAATAACCAATTGGTGATATGGAAAAAAAACCTCTGCAAAGGTCTTTCAGTAAGATTTTCTGACCACCAATATAACACATCACCAATTTGTGATTCGGTAATACAATTTTAATCTTAACGTTTTACAAAGTTTGCATGATCCACCTGGGGTTATATTTCTGGTCCATAAAACTAGAATTTCTTCTGCAAAATAGAACCAGCAATATAATAAACTGAGGAATCTCAGGGTACACAAATAATGATAAAACCCTATGCCTATGGCCTCTGGATTTATTTGCCATGGAAGGTCCATTTATTGCCTTGCATGCAAAGGGAATCTTCAAATTGTTATTTAATCTCACCAGTGATAGTGTGTTTGGGAATATTGTGTTTGAGTATAAAAGTCCTGTAAATCTGAATATCACAGGCACAAGTAAAGATCTGTTTGGATAAGAGAAAGAACATCTGTGATGCAATGTCATTCATCAAATTTTTACTTTAAAATGTTAAGATTGCTCTTAAATGCATTATTTTCAGTGTTGTACCCTGGGGACGATTTAATAGCATTCAATAATATAATGTAATCTCAATCTTTATTAGAGCAGAAACAGCTTCTGAGTCACACAATGTAATATTTTGAGTTTGTGCTTATTATTGACAGCTCTGTAATTCATGGGTTCTTGATCATCTCTGTGTTCTATATGTAATGGGAATCTTTCCCTCTATATCATACTATATCGCTGCTTGCTGTATCAGTTGCTGGTTGGAAAATGCAGCCCATTTCTAGATTGTTTCATTTTTCTCTCTCCTTAAGGAGTTTGTACATCTGCCATACTTTTATCACCCAGGTGATCTATTTTAGAAGACCCTCCAACCTCTCCCTTAGGTCATATGCCATGTTTCAGTGGCCTCTATTTCCGGCTGTAAAATGTAAGCCATGAGGAACCTTTTCTCTTCAAAGCTGTTGAAATAGTTGGAATACTTGGTTAACGTCCACATATTCCTCCCAGGCAGATGCTTAAGTGTGAGCTTCACCACCCATGCAGGTGGTCATTCATACCCCAACCATGTCTGGGGCCAGGAATATCCCGGCAGCTAATCTGCTATCATCGGGTCCAATCTCTTTGCCTGGAACCCTCTGTATATTGGGATGTTGTTTGCAGGTGATGCATCCTCTGCCACTGGGAGGCTGGCTGTGTGTTGGCCGACAGCCTGAGCAAGCACAAGGATTTCCCACTCAGGATTTCCTTCTGTGGTCTGAATTCAGGTTGAATTATAACCTCAGGTTTGCTTCAGTTTACTTCCACATGTATGCGGATGACACCCAACTCTACCTCTCTGCCTCCACCCTTGATTCCAGGACCATTGCTGTCCTCATAGACTGCCTGTTGGACATCAAGTCCTGGATGAGAGCTAACCTTCTACAGTTGAACGTCAGCAAGACCGAGGCTCTCCTGATTGGCTCACGCCAGCCTATCCTCCCCTCAGTCACTGGCAGCATTAGCATACATGGATGCACACTCCACCTCACCAATCTAGTCAAGAACCTAGGTGTCTTGTTCGACCCTCAACTGTCTTTTCTCTCCCACATCCATGCCATGAACAGCTCTGGCTTCCCCCACCTCCTCAACATCACCCGAATCCGCCACTGCCTCACGCCTCAGGCCACTGAAGCCCTCATACATGCCGTCATTACATCCAAGCACAATTATGCCAACACTCTGCTTGTTGGCCTCCCCTACTCCTTCCTCCATAGACTGCACATCATCCAGAACCCTGCAGCCCATGTTCTCTACGCCCCTGGCTCCACCACTCTATCACCCTCATCCTCGCCCAATTCCACTGGCTTCCCATCACACAAATCCTGGTCCTCACTTTCAAAGCTCTCCATGGTCTTGCTCCCCCCTACCTCTGCGACCTCCTAACTCCCTACCAACCTGCCCCCTTTCTCCATTCAGCGGGCTCCGGTCTGCTCCAAGTCCCCCGCCTTGCCTGATCCACCATTGGCAGGCGAGCCTTCAGCCACTCTGTCCCCACCCTCTGGAAATCCATCCCGCAGTCCCTCCACCTCACCCCCTCCCTTGCCTCTTTGAAGATCGTGCCTTCGCTATCCTCCTTCCCCCCCTGCCCTCCACTCTCCTCGATCCCAACGCCCAGCTTGTGTCCGAAACACATTGTCTAAAGGCTTGGGACGTCCTCCCGATGTGAAAGGCACTAAACAAATATAATTTTGTTGTTGTTGTGCATTTTCAATCTTTTTTTAACACCATTCCCTCTTAGAACAAACTATGATCTTGGAGCCTGTGCTATGCCTGTCAGCTTTTGCTGCTTGTTTACCGAAGAATTAGATTACTACCGGAATATTGCAGCAGCAATTTTTTTCTTGCCCCTCTACAATTCTTGAAGGAACTGAGTCAAACTGAGGTGCAGTTCCAAAGGTATTGGCAGCTCAACAGTACCTCACCCAATAGTCATTCTTCCTGTGTGACCTCTGAGGAAGTGTCAGTAGGCAATTCCGTCAGACAAATTATATTTCTTTCATTCATACAGAAAACAAACAATTTGCCTCACTGTTTCTGACTTCTGCCAGTGGGAATTTGAGTGCAGAAGGCATGTTGGCCTGAGCTGCAGCATAATTGTTACTGTGATGTGAGCACAGTACAGTAAATATTCTGGAATAATGAAACCAAATGCCCTTCTTCATCTAAATCTCTCTTGTGATCCTGTGTGTGTCAACCTGGCTCAGTTAGTAGCACTCTCGCCTTTGAGTCAGAAGGGTGTGGGTTCAAACAACACATCAGGGCTTTGAACTTGCGTTGTCCAGGCTGACACTCATTGCAGAACTGCCTTGTGCCACCTTTCAGGTGGAAGTTAAAGATCCCATGGCACTGTTCAAAAAGTGAACAGAGTTTCCTGGCTGACTTCATGGCTATATGTAAATATGGTAGCCAATTTGCTGTTTGCCACATTTGCCAACAAAATACACAGTTATTACCTTTCACGTTGCTGTATATCCCAGGGAAGCAATTTGAGATAGTCTCATGATGTGAAAGGCACTATTTCAAATGTTTAATTACGTGGCAGAATCTTGACACTGATCAGCATTATCTTGCCCAGTGTTGGTATATTTGGGTTTAAATTTTATTTGTCAGAAGAATTCTATGGCAATTAATACTCCAAATGAAACAATTTCTAATAAAAACTGTTTGAGAGTGTGCAGTTGAGGAGATTTTGATTTGTTATTCAGCATTAAATCATTCTCATTAATCATTAATCTTTGCTCCAGCACAAATTGACCATGAATTGAACTGTCTGTGGTCTTGAGCTATCGGTAGCATTTTGCTTACGTCAGGCATTTTATAGAAGATGTTAACATAAAAGCGATGCACTTTTACACTGAATTGCCAGCTACAACTGCCTGCACCCAAGCAAGCAAGGAGAGAATGAGAAAAATGACAATTTCATAGCCATGTCTGAGAACTGTTGTGAAAGTCTGCAGCTGAGAGTGAAGGTATGAGAACACATCTTCATATTTGAAAAATACTGTGAGTGCTCAAAGGTTTAAGACAAATCATGGAAGTGGCACAGTGCATTCAAACCCACAGCGAGTTGCACTGTGTAGTGAGAGGACATTTCTTTCCACCTATAATGTCTCCTGCATTGCAGCTCTCAAACACGGCACAAACCGAAGACCAGACATTTCCTTGGACAGAAAATTGGAGAACATGCGCTTCACAGAAACAAGAGAGAGCCCTCTAGGCCCAACTGGTGGGAGAGTTTGCTTTTTCCATGTATCCTCTTCCATCCCTCATACTTCTCTGAACAGCTGGCCATAGAGATGTAGTAAAGGCAGATGTCTGACAGAAAGTTGTTATCCTCTAAGTTGAGGAAGGTCCCAAGCATGGGAGATGCAGGAGGTGGAAGGGGGGTTAAATAATCTGTAAAGCACCAGTCAAGGGAGCAACTCTAGCTCCTCACTTCTGTTGTCTCATCTTGTGTACAATCCATTGGATGGGTTTGAGTTTTTGTGTTTCAAAGATAAAAGTACAACCAACTCTTTTCAAATCGTATTTTTGCTCTTCCCCAAATGGTTCAACTGGTAAAGCCACTGCAAAATGTGAACCTGAGCCATGCAGATCCATAATGTCCCAAGTTCAATTCCCAAACTCTTTGATCTCTGTTGGGGGTTGTGGTAGAGATATTACATTTGATTCTGTTGTCCTGGTCTCGAGAGAGAGA